TGTTTCAGGTTTCTTTTTGGTTCTCTTTTTCTCTCGTGTTTTTTTCTGTGGGTTTCGTTTGAGTGACGCTTCATACAGTACTTGCATACACGAGTACGAGGCGTGTATGACGCATACATGACGTTTCCAGAGCCCCGCTTGAGGTTCGGTTCCGTGTGTGGATTGGGTTGGGGTTGGAGTTGGGGTTGTCAATTATCTGTTCGTTGCAGTGATACACGGGAAAAGCTGTCTTATCATTGATACACGGCAAGAGCTGTCTTAACAGTAATACCTGAATATGTCGGATAACATACAATGTTGCTACAATGTTGCAGCATTGCTAACGGCATTTGTAATCTTTTGACCGCAGAGAATTTGAAAGAAAGTCGTTTCCGCATTGCGTTTTCACAGATTGATGGCTGGGAAATCTAATTTTTTTGATTCTAAGTATCTATAGACGGAATATTTTCTGGCTCTATATCAGATATTATTAGGTCTCAATAGCATATTACAATTATCTGATACCTGAAAGGCATCGGAAATTCCTCTTATGGCGGTTAAAAATGTTTGTACCTTTATTGATTAATTTTAGTACATTTTGGGAAAGTTTTACATGTACTTTATAAAAGATTTGCATCCAACATTTGAGTATGAATCGTTTCTAAATTTTTTTAGTTGAATCCCCATGTTTTTATTCGTTTTATGGTTCGTTTCAGCACAATAAAATGGTATAAGCCCATATAAAATGTCACTTTAATATTTGGTAAGTCCCTTCCTATTCCCAAATATCAATTATAAAAAACCCCCCTTTGAGGATTTCTGTTGCCAAACTAAAGTTCAATTTGCAGTTGAAACAAAAAGGCTTCCAATTGTTACACAACCATCAACAGCAGCAACAGCAGCAGCAACAGCAGCAGCAATAGTTTTTGGTTGCAACTGCAACTGCAGCAGCAACAACATTTAGGCAACATGTTTTTTTGTTGCACCATGCCATGGCCCCTGCCACACAAAGCAGAAAACAAAACAAAAACAGAAAGAAAACAAAAAACGCCAAGCAAAAGCACAAGAAATTGGCCAAAACGATCATGTTTATATAGACACATATACTATAGGCAAAAAGCTACAGCGAATGTCGGTTCAGGCAACGGGCTACACACCACGGCAGTGCACGGCACACGGCACACACCAGGCCAGACCACAGTTATGGCAATTGGCAAAGTTGGCAGTTGGCGAAAAATCAAACAAAATGGCAAAATAAAACAACAACAACAGCAGACGGCCAAAAGGCAACGGGCAAACTGCAGCCAACAATACATAAAAGTACCGGAAAGCTGGAAAGCAACGAATTTGGAAATACTCTTGGAGTTACGTTAACTTTTTGGGTAACTGTAAGAAGCTTTACAAATTATTTCTGCACTAAAAAGAGTTTAATTTATTTTTGAATATAAGTTAAAATATCAGAATGTGTTTTTTGAGTCACATGTTCCCTGTTATACCCTCTCTGAGGAAGCATTAAAATGGCAAAAAGCAACAATGTTTCCAGCGCACAAAATGTTGCGCTTTTCAAAGAGCTGCAGAGACTTGTGTCTTTTCAGCAACTCCCCCCCTTCCCCTATATGTCAACCAGTTAACAGAGATAAATATAGAGAGAGATCGAGCCAAGTTCTTCTTCTTTTGAGGTTACCAACAAGGTAAACCTGCTGCCATGTTTATTGTATCTTTTATTTTGATCTCTCTCTCTCTCTCTCTCGCCTCATAAACAATAGAACAAAGCGCCAAAGCATTCTTGATGTTTGCTGGCAAGAACAACTATGGAGGAGGAGGTCAATGTTGCAATTGTTAACTGCTAATTAGCCAAGTCCCAGTCAGCGTTACTGACACAGGCCACAAAGAGCGGGGGGAGTGGGAGAGGTAGCTGGTTCGAAGCATGTAAAAATTTATGTTTCTGTAAGTGGGGGGTGTACTACGCCTCAAGGCATCAATTCCGAGAACCGGTTAACAGCTGCCAAGCCAAAACCATCGAATGAGCGGAAAATATGATGTGGTTTCCCTCTGCTGTGTGTGGCAGTTCAAGATCGACATGAGATATGGGCTAGACTTCAATTATGATCTCCACTGGACGTCCTCCCAGAGTAATTGGAGAGGGGGTCCAACAAATTGTAAATTTATATTTATATTTTGTGTCGTTTTTGTTAGCAGTAGCAAAGTTGTTTGTGTTTGATTTTGATACTTTGAAAGATATTTATGAAACGGCATGAAACATGGTTAGGGATTTCAAAAACAGTCGTAGAACACATTTATTATATGAAAATAATTGATTTTTGATTGAAAGATCGCAAATAAATCACAATTGCCCAATAAATCGATGAAAAATCGATACTTACTTCACCTACAGGTTATTCATATTTATCATCTAAATTATTTCCAGATATTGTAACTTCTCTATTATTTCCTTGGTACAATTCCCATTTAATAATCGATCAAAAATCGATACTTCCTCCACAGAATTCTCATATTTAACCCCACCAAAATGTCTTTCTACATAAATCTGCATTCAAATTTATACACATCATTCACACATCGATTCAAAATCGATACTTCCTTCATCGATTTATCATATTTATCCCACTGCAGCAACTCTTACTCTTACATTTTCACCATAAATCTGTTGCACGCCTCAGTTGCCCCATTACCGCCACATTAAAGTCCCCGTCCCATTTGGGTGTTTCAGCAGCTTCTACAGCAGCTCCTGCCCCCCAATTGGCTACTCGCCCTTCTCTGCCCCACAATCACACCTGCCTTTAGCTGGAGTTATGACAACAAAAGCTGTAAATTAACATTCGGGGCCGCACCACACACTTAAAAGGAGTTCAAGAACATAAACAAGCTGCAGACGATGCGGATGGACAGCCAGCCGCCAACCGCCAGAGCCAATCAACTTACAAAATTCGCGGTTAACCTTCCGCCAGAGATAAAGCGAAAAAGAGAGGGGAAGAAGGGGAGAAAAGAGTCGCAGCAGCAGTCGATGATAAAAGTAAAGACCACCGCACATAAACCCAGTTTACGAAATGAAAAGGAGAAATACTCGTACAGAGAGAAAAACTGCAACACTTCAGACAGAAAAGAGGCTGGTATACGACCAGGGGAATACCCTATACTCCGCTTTGTGTGTATCTTGTGTACTAATTAGAAAAATTCAAAAACTATTCTCAGCATAGGGGGAAAATGAATGACAATACGTAAAAGGGTATATAAATTCCTTGGTTTTCTTACCCAGTTTAGATAATATCATCATATACAGTTCTAGTAAATATTCCTATATCTTTAAAATAATGGGTCATACAACTACTTTTCACGATACACACATACTCGATTACATAGAAATCATAATATGGCAGATGATCGAATTTCTCCGATAGGAGTTAACACTTCCTTCAATCTTTAATTTCTCTGTTCAATCAAATACAACTCCAACTATCCAGGGTATTACAACGCGAAAAAAGAACAGCCAATAAACACAAAAACCGCAAGCCGACGTAGTCAAAATAATAATGAGCCCCTCCAACATTTAAAATGGTTTATGAGACAGACAGACAGTGTGCTCCAAACCAAACCGATCCACCGATCCAACGAGTCTCTGAAGCCTTTTCTCAGCCTCAACCTCAACCTCAACCTCTTCGTCATCGGCTGTACACCTACGGTGGTGGTGCCCCCAAAGAGTCTTTGGCGAGTCTTTGATTTTTCTGGGTCAAGCTACACGCGAAAGCAGCTAAAAGAAAAGAAGAAATGTGTGTGTGTGTGTGTCTGTCTCTGTGTGTGTGTGTGGTAGAGTTCAAAACGTGCCTGGGTAATATTGTTCAAAAGACATGCATTGGCCCCCTCAGTACTCTCCAAAATAAGTAATACCCTGCCCCTAACCTTTCCCTTACCGCTCTGTGATCTGCTCTGCTTTTTCTTTCAGAAACAATTTCCGGTGTTGGCCTACGTTGGGTTTTGGGAATGGTTCGGTTTTTCGGGCTGCAATTGCACTTCGCCGAAATGAGTGAGTCAGACGGTTCGAATCTGGTAGCCAGGGATCGGGACCGGGAGAGAGGCCCCCAGAGAGCCACTTTGTTTCCTCTCCCCCTACCGTTATAGTATATATGAAAGTAGTTCAAGTGACCAACGGCGCCGTTACATTTCACTGGTTATGAATTGAAGTGGTTCGCGGGCACCGTCCAGCCACTCGGAGCCGAAACTCAGTCACCTTACCCTCCTTCACCCCTTGTTGGGTCTTCTACTCCACTCTCCACTCCTCTTTATTACTGTACTTCGAGGCGTTAATTAAATTGTTTTGATTTTGGGAGGCTTGAAAAAGTCTTCCGATTCAAGTGGTGTGCATTGTGGAGAGAAGAAAAGGGGAATTATGGCAGCTTTGCTGCTACGGAAATGAGGAGAGTTCTTACATTGGATACATACTTTTACTTACAGATATAATGTAGATTGGGATAAACTGCAATTTAAAGATCGGTCAAAGTGTCAGTCTTTGGTCATTGTGAAATGGATATTGAATTAAAAACAGTTGAGAATATTTCGCTCCCAAACGAAATAGAAGAGCGATGAAGGATGCGCTGGAGAAGAGAATCAAACAGAATTAATAAAGAGACTCGCACTGTTGCTACCCTGCAGAGTACCTTTTGCACACATGATACTCATGTAAGACGCATTCAGTTACGGTACAAACTCTATACAGGAAATAAATACAGAGAGAGCGAGAGGGACCGAGTATATCAAAAATAGATCATTGCTGTTCGTCTTCTACTACTAAATTTCATTACTCTAAGTCTAATATGCCTCTTCTCTTTAAAAGGGTACTTCAATAATGTATCAAAAGAGAAGAGAGGAAAGAGGAGGAGAGAGGACGGATAAAATGGCAACAATAACTGCACATTCAACCCGACAGCAAAGTTAAGTATCAAAATAAATCGAATCAAAATTAATACTTAAAAATTAAATTGAAACTATCTTATCTCTCCACTTACCATTTTAAAAATGATTAAGTATTATATTCCAATTGTCCGATTTTTGTTCAGTCTAAAAGATTCTTCTTCGGGGTGGATGTTCCCTAAAGGATTTTACGTTGTTGTTGCGACTTTTTTTGTTTTTGTGGGGGGATGGCCCACAAGGCCAAAGCGCTTTTTTATTAGTTTTCTATAATAATTGATTATTGTTTGCACACATATTATGATTAAACACTAAACATTTTTCATTCAATATTTCTTGCGTAGAAAATATGTGTAGATTATTTGTTGCACAATTGAGGCATTTTTCGAAATTATTGCACGAGAAAATTGCAGTCGCAGCTTTGATTTTTCACCTGTGAATTATTAACGGTAAATTACTCACTCGCACTGGTGGTACACTGGCATGGGTGGTGAGGAGGGTGGGAGAACGAGAATGACCAGCAAATGGACAATAAAATAAACAAACTGCAGCTACACTGTGCGCAAGGTGAGAGAGAGAGAGAGAGAGGTGGAGAAAGAGAGGCCTTGCTAAACTTGTTGAAGTTGCAGTTGCAGTTTTTTCTGCACACAAACACACACACACACACACACGAACCATTCCCAATAAGAACCTACACACGCGCATGCAAGCAGTAGCTTTCTTTGTGTGTGAGTGTCTGAGAGCATCGACTTTCTTTAGCAGGGTTTCCGGGCAAGAGAGAGAAAGAGAGCCAGAGAGTGTGGACTGTTCTTTTGATTTTCAACATTTTATTTGCACAACGTTTTGTTGCTGAAGATTGTACATTTTTGCTGCCTTAGTTGACGTAAATTTAATACACAACAAAAGTTTGACCACCAAAACGGAACGTTCTTTTCTCTTTTTGCACTTGCTTGCTTTCTTCGATTCTGCCACTGTTGCTGTTGTTCTGCCGCCGTCGCAGCTCTGCCCTCAGCTGGCGTTTTATTTTACACGACACGACAGCAGCTATCTCACTCACGCTCAAGTTCTAGCACCGCTCTTGTTGCGTTTTTCCTCACCTTTTGCAGAGTTTATTGACATTTTCAGCATTGGCTTTGTGCGCTGCTTTCTTCCTCTGCCGCTGCGCTCTCCGTTCTACCTCTCTTGCTCTAACGCTCTGTGAGTATTCGTGTGTCTCACTCTGCCGCTTAACACTTGCTTTTTTGTTTACAATAAAGAATAACCTTCAATTTTATCTTATTGCGCGCCCGTCATTCGCTATATTTGTTATACTCGTCTTTCGGCACCGCTTTTGGTTTGGGTTTTGGGTTTTCATATGCAATTGGAATAAAACCTGTGCGCTCTTTGCCTCATTTGAACTGCACTTTTGTTTGCGGCCTTGCGGCTGCATTGGAATGGGGTTTCTTTTTTGTTTAATACAAATGATAGCCCACTTAACTTTGCTTCAGCCACCATTGCACTATCATACATTATTTGTTATATTTCCGCATTTTTCACTATCTTGTCGTTGCTTTCGTATTTCTTTGAATTTTGTTTACCTGGGACTTCGGATTTATGGGCGCGCGGAGCATGAACGATCTAAAAGAATGGATGACGGATGACGGTGGAAAGCAGACTGGATAAAACAACGGAATTGGGAAACAAAAACTAGTCCCATTGTGAATTGTAAATTTGTCCTATTGTGAATGAGTAAAAAAAATATACCGTGAAAAAATGCACTGAATTATACCACCTCACTTTTTTAAAATATACCGTAAGTATACCAGATCTTAATTATTTCCTCGATTTTGATATTCTGATTAATATTACCAGCTTGTTAATACTACCAGCACTAACTTCTTTAAAACACCTCAGACTCATACTCATTTTTGAGTTGCAAGTTAGAGTATGCCAGATAGCATAGCCTGTGCTGTAGCCATTAACTTTTGTCAGCTGACACCTGTTGGAGTGCGCCGAACATTCAAATTAAGCCACTATTTATCTCTTACCAGTTACAGCTCACAAGAATCTATTAAATTCAATTTGGAAGGGTAGATGAAATTACTTACGAGATTTCCTCCTCTAATTACTTTTGTTGCCTGTAAGTAGACCCTGCTTAAGCTTAAGACTCAACCCATTAAAGACCTCTAAATCAATTATTAGGCAACATTTTGGATTGATAAATTGCTGGCATATGCAAATGAGAATTGGCCTGCAATCCGCCTCCTATGTAAATTGCATATTATTAATAATTCTGAGCAAACACACACACCCACACAAAAGCTAAACATAAAATGGTTTATGATTGTTGTATATATTGTTAAATATGGTTAGCTAATTGGTTAATTAAGTTGGATCGCAGATAATCACATGTAGGCAAGCCATTTTGCTTTTCGTTGGCTTTTTGGTTTATTTGCTCCCCTTTATGCTCTGCCTCTTTGGTCACACACCCAACCCAATCCCAACCCATTCCCATGCTCTTCTCCCATCCACCCAGCCTGTCTGATAAAGTGGGCTAAGCAAATTCGCGACACTGAATCCGCCTGAACTCATTTCGCTGCAAGTGAAACACGCTTGCAAAAGGGGTCTGCTCCGCTTAAATGCATTAAACATTAACAATACATCAGATCCAGCCATGATTAGTTTAGTTTAGACAACAATGAAACAATAAACAGAAGAAAGAAAAAGCACTCTGTCACCTTTTTGTGTGTCTATCGTGTCTGGGGCGTCGTTTGCTGAAGGTCACAAGTAGCCGGCAGCAGAGGGAGCAGAGGGAGCAGAGGCAGACAGCAGGCATCATCTATGGATGTCTGTTCGAGAAATCAATTCAAAATTCGAAATATATATGTAAAACAATCAAAACTCGTGAACCCGACGCTAACGAGGGGATAACGAAGTGGGGATGCCCTTCGTTGTGGGATTATTAAATACAAAAATTAACAAATAAAATTGTTTAATAAAAAACAGCTGACGTAAGCATTATTTTTAAAAAATCACGGATAATTATCGGTGATAACAATCATCTGTAATAAATTGTTTTAACAATTATAATTAGAATTATCCATGATTATTCTTTAGCAAAACAAAAGTTTAAATATTTATTTTCTAATACATCAAATAAAGAAAGAATTATAATCGAATTTAATTGTTTCTAAAAATGAGTTAAGTCAGGATATTCTGATCTATTAGGATACTTCTATCGTGTTTTGTTTTTGATGAATGATTCCCGTAATTTGAGTAATTTTAATTGCTTCTAAAAATTGGGACTATGGGATATATAGCAAAACCTAATTAAATTGCTGCTAAATATAATTGAAGTTCTCTTACATATCTTATTGTATAGGAAATTGAGAAGCAATTTTTAGGGCAACCTTAATAGCGATCAGGAAAGGACTTCCCTCATAACGATTCCCTTAATACCTTGATTCAAGTGCTTCCAATATGATTGTTCTCGCCATATACGTATCTTGTGTGTCCAATTTCTTATTTATTGTTATGTATGCATTAAATTGATACTTTTTGATCGCTTTTAGTCAATTCCCACATGATCTTCTTCTTAAAAAATAAACCATCACTAAAACTTAGACCATATTTTGCTTGGCTACGATGAAAGTAGTACTCCGTGCTCCACAGCAATCAGGCACTTTAAATCATCAAAACACCCTCTTGAAGGGCACTTACAAAAAAGAAAAGAAAAACACCACCTCATGATTGAGTAAAAGTGCACACAAGAGACATACGACTCAGAAATGAAACTCCCCCCAAAGGGAAAAGTGAAAATATATTATAAATAAAATAACAAATGAAAAATAAAGCCACAGAAACGTCGCTTGGGCTTGCATTTAGTTGATGTCTTCATCGGGGGGTATTACACACACGAAACGGGCAGGACCGAACAGACAGACAGAGAGGCAGCTCCACAGAGAGGTAAACCCATTGACCGTGTGGCCCGGAGCGACCCTAAATCATATTCAAATTAATTAAATGACGGCCGTTTGCCGGCGGCCAGGGCAGGCAGGCAGGCAGCTGCTGCGGTTTCATTAGTTCATTAGTTTACAAGTTCACTGAGATTAAAAATAGTAAGTCTACCAGCAGCGGGCATCCTTGAATAGTTTGTTGGTTGAACAAGCTGCAGCGACGGCGCTCAAGCATGTAGTTTGTGGCCATTAGCACCGGCTAATAGTTAAATCAGACAAATTTCCGCTAGCCAAAACGAAGTCTGGTCTGCTCTCAGATTAAAGAGAGTGTGGGGGTAACCTTTGACTTTTGAATGTTTCGTGTGTGCGTGTGTGGCCCTTAAATTGGTTGTGTACACACTTCACACACAGCACACGGCACACTGCACACTGCAAATGCAAATGAGCGTTGGCGTGTCCAAGTCCGTGCTGCTTCGAGTTGCCCTGTTGACATTGCAAAACCCCCAGCCAAATATCCCTCCCCGCCACAGTTCGATGGCGGTACGATATGTGCGATAGCAGGTGAGCGGCGGATCTACTGCCTCTACGCACACGCACACGCACACGCACACGCACACGCACAAGCTCAAGCCGGTAGCAAAAGATAGTGAGAAAGGGAGAGAGAGAGAGAGAGAGAGAGAGAGAGGCGGCGAGCGATTGTTAACCCTTAGGGGGAGTTGTGGGGCACTTAAACTCGTTATGAATATGAAATACATACACAGATTTAAAGCACATATTTGTGAATAATACAAAGGCCAATGTGAATAAAGATAATCCGAAATTATGATTCGTATTGATATAATAAATATACCTAAAGATATAACGATCCCAAGTAAAAGTGTCCTACAAATTTTAATGTTTCTTCAACTTTGAACATTTTAGAAAAATGATTTTTTTGGCGTATGGTAATATTTTTTAGATGTGAACCGTTAGTGGCATTTATTTTAAACAAAATAGGCCACTTGCTAGTGTTTCAAATACTTCCAAAAATGCCAAAAGTCACAAAATTCTTGTTTACGAACTAAACAAATTATTTTGTTGTCTTAATGCGTATTCTAGGTATGAGGAAGTGATCTACTCAGTCAGGCCTACATCATGGTTTTTGTCTATTGCAAATTCATTGCAAAATACTGCCACTTGTCGCACAGTTTTAATCGGAAGTGTTTCTACTTTAAAGCTTAATTGCTTTACAAATCAATCAGAATAAAGAGCCACATTAGTGGCTCCCAAAAACACTCCCTCCACTTAGGATCTTCAAAAGTTGTGCAAAGTATTAGCACAAAAATAAATTAAAATAAATTAAACAAAATCATTTGGGGCACATTTACACGCCCACTGGGGGGTTAATGATCGGCTCTCATCTGCTTATAAAATTAAACGTTTCGCCTCTTCTGTGACAAGCAAAACGCAGACCGATACACCCCAAAGAAAACGAAGAGTCCGAACAGCGAAACCGAAACGAGACGCATCTTTATGCCAAGTCTGAACTTGGGAATTTGTGGGTATAAAAGTCGCCGGCCATCTGCAGTGGGTCATCATTCAGCTTCAGTCTCTCTTGGCCAAAGCTTCCACTCCACCAAATCCAACGAACTTTGGGAAACTCCCCCCGTTCCAACAAATCAACAACAATGGTGAGTGGAGCGTATAGCGATCTTCCAGTTTGTGGCCTGCTAATGGGTTAATCTCTTCCAGAAACTCTTCGTGTTTGCTGTGTGCGCCATCGCGGCGGTTGCTGCCGATGTCTCCCATCTGAATCTGGGCGGTGGTGCCAGTGGCTACTCGTACAACAAGCCCTCCCCATCGTTCAACATTCCATCGGGTCCAGGTCCAGTGTTCTCTGCCCCGGAACCTCAGTACTCGGCGCCAGCACCTGCTCCCCAGTACTCGGCTCCTGCCCCAGCTCCCGAGTATGTGTCTCCCGTTCAGGACTTCCCAGCACCTGCTCCACAGTACTCTGCTCCTGCCCCAGCACCTCAGTACTCTGCTCCTGCCCCAGCTCCAGTCTTCTCTGCTCCCGCACCACAGTACTCGGCTCCAGCACCTGCTCCTCAGTACTCTGCGCCTGCTCCAGCTCCCGAGTATCTGCCTCCTGTTCAGGATATCCCTGCACCAGCACCTCAGTACTCTGCTCCTGCTCCAGCTCCAGTTTACTCTGCACCCGCACCACAGTTCTCAGCTCCTCAGTACTCTGCGCCTGCACCTGGTCCTGAGTATCTGCCTCCTGTCCAGGATATCCCTGCTCCTGCACCTCAGTACTCGGCGCCAGCACCTGCACCTCAGTACTCTGCCCCAGCGCCTGCTCCTCAGTTCTCGGCTCCTGCTCCAGCTCCCGAGTATCTGCCTCCTGTTCAGGACTTCCCAGCACCTGCTCCACAGTACTCCGCGCCAGCTCCCGCACCACAGTACTCTGCTCCTGCCCCAGCTCCAGTCTACTCTGCCCCCGCGCCACAGTACTCTGCCCCAGCACCTGCTCCTCAGTACTCTGCGCCTGCTCCAGCTCCCGAGTACCTGCCTCCTGTTCAGGATATCCCTGCACCAGCACCACAGTACTCTGCTCCTGCTCCAGCACCTCAGTACTCTGCCCCTGCCCCAGCTCCAGTCTACTCCGCACCCGTGGAGCAGCAGCAGCAGCAGTCGTCTGGCTACCAGTACAATGTGCCCGCCAAGCGGTTCCGCTTCTAGGCTGATTGCCGATCTGTGATGTCCACAGCCATTCACGGGAGAGCAGAGGAAAGGAGAGGATCGATTCCGATGGCTTGTTAAATTAACAAGCGGCCTGCTCTCTCTCTCCCTCCCACTCACTTCATTGTTGTTGATTATTTGTTGTTACACAAAGTTCCCGTTGAGATTTTCTAGCTAATAAATAAAATAAAATTTAAAAATACAAAAAAAAACCCAAAATAGTTCGATAATTGCACAAGGAATCCGATCGATCGATCGCTGCCTCTTCCAATCGAGTGTTATGCGATTCGATTGCCTATAGATATTTAAATTGAATGCCATCAAAATTCAGCCATAAAATTCGCATAAGTATTGGCCAAAAAAAAGTCGCCCAACAACAATTAAGATTACACAAAAATGACCTAAGGTGTAGGCCATAACAACGCAGGCATTGGCAATCGTTACGGGCAGAGAGCAGACCTCATCGAGAGCTCTCATCGAGATCTCACTTATGCGGCGAGAAGAGTATTTGCAGTGCTCAATGACACTTGAAGCAATAGATCAGCCTCTAGCAGGGCCTTTCCAGGTTAATCCAATATTTTATTTACAATTTGAGGGGATTTACCTGAAGGGGAACCTTCAAAACGCACCTCGAGTCTGAGGAAGAATATTTGTTGGTAGCAGAAGCATCTGGAAATTATTCACACAATTTAAAGGGAATATTTGGTAAGACTCTAAAGGGGCCATTAAATAAGAGGCCATAATGTACATAATTTTTGTTACACTCTAAAGCCGCGGTTGAACCTTCAAAACCAGAAGTCCAACCCATATTTGCCAATTTGCGCATACACATTGCACTTGAAAAATATCAATACGAGTACTCGTATGATCTTTACGAGGCCGCCAATAGTTATTTTCTGTTTCTTTTTTTTTTTTGCAGTGAGGCAAATATTATTTGTAGGTTGTCTGACGGAAGGCACTGTGTATGGTGGAGCTCTGTATTTAGCACCTAAGAAGTAAATATGCAACAGTTTTCGGTTGTTATGGGAAGTGCAAGCAATGAGCTGAGAGCAATCTGCATAATAATAAGTGGAATAAATAAAATAATAGTTGGAATAGGAATAAATCCATGAATTGTGTACATACAATTAAAATCAATTAAATGAGTTCCATTTTGAGAATCCCCTGAAAATGTAGAGATTTTTATGGGATTGACCTAAAAAGGCTACGTTCAATAAATATAGTTTTATTAATTAAATTTACACAGAAAAATCTACTTACAATTTGAATGCAAACGAGACGTTATCTATGTGGCAACTGCATTTCACGGTCATTGGTTTTAAAATAATTAATGTTACTACGTTAATTCATCAAACTAGTGTAGATTATGACAAAATGTTTTATAGTTAGCTGTAAAGAAAAAATGTACAAAAACTCTAGGCTTTTTAGCACCTCAAACATAAATGTTTTACCCATGGGTAAGTATCATTTTCTTTTGAATACCATTAATATATGGGATATGTGTCGTAGAACTGAAGATTCAGTTTTCTTTTGGCATTCAATTACACATAACTTTAAGCCACAGACGCGACTAATGCCATTAAGCAAGTAACCTTTCAGCTCAGCTCTGATTTGTGGTGGCCCTCTATGCAAATGTAGCTATACATTTTTATGCTAATTGGCACTCGTACACACACATAGTGCAGATCAGCAAATGTTTGATTTCCATAGTTATATATTTTGGCAAACATTTCGGTGTTTGCGAATTTCTATGCGACTTTCTAAAGCCGATTAAATAACCTTCAACAGAGATGTCAAAATCATTTAAAAGAAAGATTTATTGGTATTTCATTTTGAAATCATATCATGCCTTATTAAATCCCGAACTGTTTTTCAAACCATCTAAATATAAATCGAAGAGTTTCTAGCAATTATGAAAGTAAAACCTGTTTGCTGTTTCCTCTACAATTGCCTTGTCGTCAAGTACTTACGCGTACTTACGCCAAAATAAATCTTGGTTAATGCCAAAATGTTCTTCAACGACCTCCAACTGGTGTGGTAAGAAATTGTTAATGGCCACAGCAAAAAAACAAAAACCACAAGTTCAGTTTGGATTTGGTAATAAAAAGACAGCAAGAAGTTAAATTAATGTTTCGTATGTCGAAATAGTTCGTAAAGATGATTTCGAATCCTCCAATATGAACATTTTCAAATTCAAATATTTTGCAGCTATTCTTGCCAATATGAGAACGACCCCTATTTAAAAAGGAGCTGAAGGATTTAAAAATAAACATTAAAAAAGCAAATTAGAAAAAAAATGGAGTTTAAACTTAAGACTCCGTTTTTTTTCAGTAAAAAAATATAAAAATACACGTAAAATAAACATAAAATAATAAAGGAAAGAATAAAAATATTAACAAATAAAAACAAAATAGAGTGGATGCTTCAGTTTTAGTAGGCGCCAGTTAGGGACAGATATCCAGACTTGCGGGCTCTAAATGAATCCTTATACGAGCTGCAGCTGTTAGAATTCAAGCGAGAAGGAACGTGTGAGACGCTTCTTACGCGTCACAACTTTTATACCCGCCACCCAGTACTACATCTGCACCTTAGCGGTGTTTTGTCAAATTTTACATATTTTCTTCATCTGCTACACTTCTCACACCAACACGCTCCTTTAGCTCGCCGCCCTTCCCTAGACCCACACACTGCAGACTCGCTGCAGAGGCAGAGGCAGTGCCCGCACACAAACAAACAAATATAAGCTGAGGGACGGGGTGGGTTAAAAGTCGGCAGAGGCAAAGGCAGGGGAACGGCAGAGGCAGGGGCCGAGTGAAGCAGAAGCAGAGTGTGAATGAGAGAATGTGGAAAGAACAACAAAAGCTGCGGGACAGGGTGGGTTTATCCAATGATCCAATCGGATCCCAATTTGGTGATCTGATAGATATGGCCATTCCCACCTTCAAAATTGTAGATTTGGGAGGTTTTCGCCCTTTTACGGGGGCTTAAGGGGGCGTGCACACAGCAGTCTGGAGCCAATTTTGTGGCTCTAGCTTTTATGGTCTCTGAGATCCAGGCGCTCAACAAGACGGACAGACGGACGGACAGACAGACATGGCTCAATCGACTCGGCTATTGATGCTGATCAAGAATATATATACTTTATGGGGTTGAAAACGTTTCCTTCTGTGTGTTACATACATTCACTTTGTGCACAAATACAATATACACTATTTACTCTTCGAGTACCGGTTATAAAAATAAAGTACTTTAAACCCTACTTTTTGCCACAAAAAAAAACATTTCCTTATATAGTTATATATATATATATTTTGTAACTAATGATAAATAGTTTTATTTGTTGTTTTGTTAAATTAATACACGCTTCTGTTGTCGCTCGTCATTTTCTTTGATTCTGGTATACCATTTGCATGCCGATGATTTTTGTTATATTTTTCTCGAACGCTTAAGTTAAATTTAATTATATAATTTCATTAGTTTAGTTATTAGGTTAAGCAGTATGCTATAATTAGTTTACAAAGATTGCAGTTTACATGAACATGTACATTATACATAAGCATATACATAAAGACATATATATGTATGTATACATATGTATATTCCGCATATATTTTCATATCCATCTATAGCCTATGATTTTGTCGCATTGATTTAGCATATGTTTTTAGCTTGATTTCTTTTTGTTTTTATGGTCTGTAATGGTATGTATCTTATTTAACTTAGTGGCTTTGAATAATATACAGCTAAATGTAAAATACTAGACGCAGTTGATGGGTTTAGCTAATAAACTCTAAGAGCACAGAACGTAAACTAGCGTTCAAGGCCGAAGGGCAGGGGCAAATAAATTAAATTTGTTGCAGATAAATGTACCAAATTTTTCAAGAAAAAACGGGTTTAAACGAAACGAACCCACATACCAGTTAAAAATTAAAATAAATCTGCTTTTGCGTGCACATTTGATGACCTTTTATATTGCTTAGGTTTTTGGGGTTTTTTCAATTTCCAATAAGTGGCCTAAAGCAGAGGTTATACATGGTTAGGCTGCCTCTCTCCACCCTCGTGTGCTTTTCCTTACAGTCTACATTTATGTACATGCTTTTCGTTATTGTTGTTGTTGTTGTTTTAGGCACCCAGCGGCGCTTGTTATGTGTCGTAGTCATCCTGCTGGGAGCTAAAGTAGCTCACCAGTCCACTGAACTCGCCCACCGCCGGACCTGTCGCCACTGGCGGTGGTCCACTGGTGTCGTGCGCCGAGCCAGAGTCCTCTTCTGCTATGACCGCTGGCGAGCCCACAGCTCGAGCTGCTGCCGCCTCGGCCACACCCACGGCCATAGGGGACTTGGCTATGGGTGGATATGCCTCCAGGGTTGTCAGTTTTTTGCTCGTTATCACCGAAGGCGGTGGTGGCTGTTGCTGCTGCTGCTGTGGCGGCGCCTTGTGTGCCATAACTTCCGCGGGTGGTGCTGCTGCCACTGGAGCTGGTGATTTGCCACGCGTCAGCGCTGACACCGAATGATTTGTGGGCGTCACAGGCGGTGGGGCACTCACAATCACCGAACTGGGCGCTGCATGGGCGGGTGGTGTGGTCAGCGGAGGCGGCGGTGGATAGTAGCCATACGGTGGATAGCCGCCTGAATGAAACGAAACATTAGAGAGAGATTCTCGGATGTGGAAACTACACTCTCTACTTACGTGCACCTGCCACGTAGTCCACGGCACCGGGTCGCATATTACCAGGCGGTGGTCCGGGTGGTCCAACGCGGGGCTGATAATTGGGATTGCCATAAATGGGCGGACCGCGGCTGTAAAAAACGAAGAAAATTATCAACAGGCTCCTTCATTGAACCCTCGACTGCTCTCACCTGTAGGGATTCAAGTGTGGCGATGCATGTCTCGCTGGTGGCGGTCCCGTGCCGTAGACACTGCCCAGGGGCGGTCCACCGTGATGTTCCGCTCCGTGCATGTAAGGGGGACGGGTATTGGGCGACGCCCCCCCGCTACTCGCTGTCGATGTGGGTGGTGGCGCTCCACGCAGCGGCGGCGGCGGTCCATAGGTGGGACGCAGCGCTGAGTGTGGTGGCGGCAGACCGGGCGGCATTTGTGGACGCAGCAGGTGACGAGGTGGTCCCGGTGACGCGGCTGGACCCACGCCAGACGATGGTGAACGCGAACCAGGCGCGGAGCTGGGCGGCGGCAGAGGTTGGGCGTAAAACCGTGCAAATTCCGCGCTGCTGGGATACATGCCCGCGGGTGGACCACGTGCATGCGGATGCGCCGAGAGATGCGTGGGCATTCGCGTGATTACCGACGCCTGTGAGGAGGCGGCAGCCGTTGAGCGTGGAGGGGCATCTTCGTGGGGCTTGAAAAGCTGTGCTGGCACGCCCTTAATCTTGTCCACGGGTGGCGCTGGAGTTCCAGGTGTGGTCGAGGCTGCTGTGACGGCCGCTGCCGTTTGTTGCTTCTGCAATTGATCCCGCAGCGGCGTCACCTTTTTCCGGCGTCCACGTGGCTTGCTGTCGACAGGCGGCGGTGGAGGTCGGGCCGCCTGAGGCTCAGGTGCACGGCCTGCCGCCTGTTGCGTGGCCACACTGGCCTGGTGCATAAGATGGGCCGCAGCCGAAGGCATGGACATGACTAGTGGCAAGTGCTGGGCCGTGGGAGGTGGCTGTGGATAGTTGCCACGACCCAGCGGCTGGCCGAGCGGCGCCGAGAGCGCATTCTGCAGCAGCTGCATGGCCGGCACGGACTGCGAGAGCTGACGCTGCAGCATGGGATGCATGCCATGTGGCGGCGGCAGCAGCGATGCCGGTGGTCCGTGCTGTCCAGGGCCCGGAAACTGATGCCGCAGCAAAGGCGGATGCATGGTGGGCATGGGCAGACGTTTACGATGCGGCTCCTGCAGACCCGACGACGGCGGTGCGGCGGCTGCATGGGGCGCCGGAGGCATGGGAGGCGTATCCACGGGGGCAGAAACTTTGCTGGCTTTGGCCTTGGCGGGTGTCGTGCGCAGCACCTCCTCGGGGCCGGGCAACTCTCTGGCAGCCGCGGCACTAAACTGCTCCTCCTCCTCGACCATCCGGGCAATGGCATCCTCCATGTCCTCGGGCAGATCGGCATCGTCCAGCATCATCTCGGAATCGTCCAGCTCCTCCGACTCATCCTTGTCTTCCAGGTCGCCAATGGTCTCGCCCTTGCGCTGCAGATAGTCAATGTCCAGCACCTTGGCCTGCCGTATGACCGACAGCGGCACTGTGGAGAGGGAATCCCCACCCGCAGGACCCTTGCTGGGCGTTCGCTTCTCCTGTGCGCCGCCGGCTGTAGGCACCTGTCCCGGTGCCGTGCCCTTGATGGGCGTGAGGCGTGGCGTGGCCGCCAGCTTAGCTCCTTCAGCGTTCTTTTCCGCCAGCATTCGTTTGATCTCCTCCTGCTTTTGGATGAACTTTTGACGCTCCTCGGGCGGCGTGTCGGGCCGATGGACGCCCGGCTTGATGCCGCCATCCGAGCTGTCGTCATCAAAGTCCTCGATGTAGGCATAGCGACGACCTCGCGTGCGTGTCCGCTCATCCGAAGCGGCGCCCTCGTCCTCCTCCGACGACGGCGGCTTCTTCTTCTTGGACTTGCCTTTGCCCTTGCCCGTCTGTGCGGTGGAGGCGCTCGGTTTGAGGGGCTGCGAGCGGGGCTGCTTGCCCGAACCCTTGCCCGAGGTCGGTGCACCCTCGTCATCGTCCTCATCCTCCTCCTCCGGTTCGCTTTCGCTGATATCATCATCGGAGTACTCCAAACGTTTCGGTTTCTTGGCCGGCTGCGCGGGTTTCTTGAGCTTTGGCGACTTCCTTGCTATGCCCGCGGCCGAGCTGCACTTTTTGTTGTTTGTTTTTTTCTTTTTCGATGGATGCCAGGCGCCGTCTTCGCTCTCGCTTGTCGTATCATCGCACAGATCCGCACTGTCCATGTTCTCGGTCAACTCGGAGCCAGCGTCCTCGTCGTCATCCGTTTCGGTTTCCGTGTAATCGGAGTCCTCCTTTTTCTTCTTCTTGGATTTGGGTTTCTTTTGCTCCTCTTCGCTTTCGTCGCTCTCCTCCACCACGAATTTGCGATCCTTGCGACGCTCTCGGGCGGCTCTTCGGGCCGCCTTGCGCTGCTTCTTGCCACGGCCCGGCCGTCTGTAGACCTCCAGACTGGAGTCCGAGTCATCGGAGGCAGATTGTGAGGTGTCCTCTTCGCTGTAACTGGACGTCTTGAAGTCCTCATCGCTGCCATGATCCTCCTCGGAGCTAACATCCAGCGTCGTTAGCTTTCGTGGCTTCTTTTTCGCTGGCGGTTGCTTCGTTTTGCTGCGCTTCAGCGGCACTTCATCCTCGTCGTCCGAGCTGCTGCTCAATTTCGTTGGTTTTTCTTCATTTACAACGGAAGGCGGTCGCTCCTCGGGCTGCTCCTCATCCACGTGCACATCGTCGCGACGTGCCTTCTCCTTGTCCGCCTCGATAATGGTGGATATGTCCTTGCCACGGCCCAGATTGCCAGCACCCGCGACCTCATCCATTTCCTTTTTGAGCGCCGAATTGATCAGATCATCGTACTCGTTGAGACGATAGCTGACATTGATCTGCCGTCGCTTGCGCAGCTTGTAGATGGGCTCATCGTCCGAGTCCGAGAAGCTGCTGCTGTTGCTGCTCGAACCAGAGCCGGAGGCACTGCCCCCAGACTGGCTCTTGCCACCGGCGCCGCCGCTGCTGCTGTCCGAGTCGCCGCCGCGTCGGCGTCTGGTGCCGCGTTTGGCTGCCTTGCGATTGCTCCGCCCGTCGCCGCGACGTCTCTTCGGTTTGTCCGCTTTGCTCTGCTTGCTGGCCACCTCGTCGCGATCATCATCGTCGTCGTCGTCATCCTCATGGCGCTCCGCCTTGGACGCCTCACGATCCTCCGCCAGCTTGACGGCCTCCAGCTCCTGTCGCTCGCGCTCCGCCACCTCAGCCAGCCGTTTTTCCTGCTGCTTGTGAGCCACCATCTGATCAAAGCGCTGCAACTGCTGCTCCAGGGCCACAATGAGGTGCTCCTGCTGGCAGGGCGGACAGTGCCAGTCGCCCTCGGGTATGTAGAACAGCACCGGCGACAGGCAGGAGCAGTGATAGCCCTTGTTGCAGTTGGGCGTATCGCAGAGGAGTATCCATTCGGGATGATCCGACTTGCCGCACTCGTTGCATGCCTCATCCGCATCGTAGTCCTCCTCGTTCTCTTTGCGCACCGTGCGTGCACGCTTCATGGGCACCACCTGCGACTCATCTTCCAGCTCGGATTCCGGGGAGAACTCATGATCCGAGCGGAAGAGCGGAGATCCTGGATCTGTGTCGTAGTGCGGTGGTTCTTCTTCCTCCTCTTCGCTGTCCGCTTGTTGATCCGAGTCCGAGGACCAACCATCTTTGCCAGGCAGCTTCTTTTTCTTCTTTTTAGCCTCCTCCGCCTCGCTGGCCTCGGATGATTCGGCTTCCTCTTCCTCTTCGCTCCGCGTTGGCTCTGGCACTGTGGGATCCTGTTCCTTCTGTGCCTTTTTCTTCTTTTTGAGCTCCTGCTTCATGGAACGCAGCGCCACCTCCTCCTGCTTGCGTCGCTCGGCCTCCTCCTTGATCTTCTGCTGTGCAATCCGTCGCGACTGACGCACTGGCGTCTCTGAGTCCACGCACTCAATGATGTTTGTGGTGTCCACCTCGCGCTTCTTGCGCGGACCACGGCCACGTCCCACTGGTTTTGCGGGCTGCTCTTCCTTGGCTGCGGTAACTTCGCTGATGGATTCCTCATCCAAGGGCTCCTCTAGCTCTGCCAGTGGTTCCTCTTTGGATGGCTGTTTCGGCTGGAGAGGCTCCTCCTCCTTGAGCGGTTTCTTCTGTGGATTTTCCTCCTCCTTCAGGGGTTTCTTCGTTAGAGGTTCGTCCTCTTTGAGTGGTTTCTTTTGTTGCGTTTCCTCATTCTTCGCTGCAGTTTCTATTTTTATTTGAGCCTTCAATTTGGTTGCCACTTTGGCGGGTGGTTCTCCAGTGTCCTTCTCATCCTCCTCCTCCTCCTCCTCTTCCTCACTGGTTTCATGCTTCACCTCAGCCTTTGCTTCTGGCATGAGCTTCTCCTTGGGTCCGCCGCGCGTTCGTTTGGGTTGCGGCAGTTCGGAATAAACGACTGCCGCACCACCCCGACGACCGGAACGACGCGCAGACCCTTCGGGAGGGGAGGAAGTGTCTTTCGAGGGCAGCGGCGGAGTCGATTCCTTGACTGGAAGCCTTTGAGCTGGTGCTGATGCCTTCTCCTTGACCTGGAGCGGCGATGGAGTCTTCTCTTTAACCTGCACTGGAACTGGAGATTTTTCTTTGACTTCCACTGGAGTCTTCTCTTTTCCGTGCGCTGGAGATAGCGACCTCTGCTTGACTGGCGGTAGCAATAGAGGAGCCATAACCATTGTTGATGGTGCAACTGGAGACTTTTCCTTGGCTGGAGGTGCCATTGGAGGCTGCTCTTTGAGTGGCACTGCCAGTGGAGTCTTGAGTGTTGAAGTCTTCTCAATGACTGCTGGTGGAACTGGACTCTCGTCCTTGGCTGGTGGTGCCACTGGATTCTTCTCTGTGGTGGGAATTGCCGCAGGAATCTTCTCTTTTACTGGCGACGGTGACAGATCCTTGGGTGGCGGTGCCTTCTCCTTGGATATAGATGGCGACGCAGTCTTCTCCTTAGCTTCAGGCTGCGACGAAGCCATATGTTTGGATGGAGACGGCAAAGCATCTTTCTCCTTGATTGGATTTGTAGCAGGCGACTTCTCATTGAAGGAAAGAGCCGCCGGAGATCTCTCAATGATGGAAATTCCTGCCGGAGACTTATCCTTGGCTGGTGGAGACCTGTCCTTGATTGGTATGGATTTCCCCTTGGCTGCTGGAGACTTCTCTATAGTTGGTGGCAGCATCAAAAGCCTCTCCATGGCTGGTGGCGGTGAAGGGTCCTTTAGTTTGATGGATGATTCGGGCACAATATTCTCATTGATTGAAAGAGCAGGCGATGGAAACTGTTCCTTGGTTGGTGCTGACAGTTCAGCCCTCTCCTTGGTTAGAGAAACCACCGCCGGATCCTCTTCTTCGACGATATCCTGCTCGTTGTTGCGCTTAAGCTTCTCGCTAACTGCTGGTGGTGCCTCGTTGGACGACGATTCCTTGGAATCCTTGGCGTCTTCACTGCTGCGACGCTTGCGCTGACGCTCCTCCAGGACAGCCGGTGGCGCTGCAGGCACTGGGGTGGGCACCACCGTCTCACTGTTTGTGCGCTTCCTGGGTACGGCCTCCTCGTCGCTCTCCTCCTGTCGCAGCTGTGTGAGCAGATTCTTCTTCAATGGCTTTGTTATTGGCGATTTCTTCGGATGACAAAAGGATGGGGCCGGGGGCGTGGCTTCTCTGGGAGGAGGTGGCGGCAGAGACACATTTGGCGTTGGTTCTGTGGGCTGCTCGGGCATCTTTTCAGGCTCCTTGTCTGGCAACTTTTCGGTCATAAAGTCGGGCAACTTTTCGGGCGTTTTCTTCAGCTTCTTCTCGATAATCTCGGCTAGCGTTGGCTTTTGCTTGGTCACGGGCGCCTTCTCCAAGTGCCTCTTGGGCGCAATAATCTTGCGTCGACTTCGTGGATCTTCTTCGCCGCTGGAGGAGGTTGTCTCCTCGACATGTGTCTTCTGTGCCTCAACTTTGCGACGCGCCTCCACATTTGAGGTCTTGGGACGCATCTTAATGCGCTTTCCACCCACATCCAGATCGTCCAGTGCCTCATCGATCTCCTCCTCGTGCTGCTGCGCATCCACTTCGCTCTCGGAGGTTGATTGTCGCGCGGGTGCGGCCACAAAGTCATTGAGGCGACGCTTGCGATTGGGCAATATCGATGCGGGCTTGGGATATTCACTCGCTGAGGCGTTTATGTTCATTGGTACGTCGAATTTATGTACAGATTCTACAGCTGGTGCTTTCGCTGGCGGGGATTTGGCTTCATTTTCCTGCTTTTCGCCATTGTCTTTGGGAATTACAGCCTTGGAAGTGCTGGGCAAATCGTTTTGTACAGTTTCCAATGGCTTTTCTTTAATTTGAGAGCCATTATTGCTAGTTTCGAACTTCTTTTCGGTCGTAAGCGGTACAGCAACGGGCTTAGTCTTCTCGTTGGGAAGAATTACAGCTTCGGTGATGGCTTTAGACTGCTCTTTGGGAAGAACTTCGGCGGCGGCGGCGGCTTTAGGCTGCTCTTTAGGAAGAATAACGGCTTCGCCGACGATCGTAGACTGCTCTTTAGGAAGAACCGCCGCTTCCGCGATGATTTTAGTCTGCTCGTTGGGAACAGTAACCGCTTCAATGACAATCTTAGGCTGCTCCTTGGGCGGCATTGTGGAGTTATTATCGTTTGGAAACGATTTACTGCTTTTAAATGGAAGAGTATCAACAACCAATGCCTGAACCGGTTGGGGTGACGATTCCTTAGCTTTTAGGAGCTTTTCAGTATCGGTTTTGATCATGTTTGTGGCTGTAGTGGCAGCAGGTTTCTTCTCGTTTATTGGCTTGTCTTTGGAATCATCTGAAATCTTGTCTGAGTCCTCCACAAATTTTTTCAAATCAGTATTAGCAGTATCACAATCTTTTTCAACAGGTTTTTCACCCTTCATGGGTACAGTTTGGATTTGAATCGCTTTGATTTGTTCCTTTTCAATCGAAATAGCAATCGGACAGTTCTTAAACAATTCAGAATTGCTTCGAATGGAATCAGACCTGCTCTTAAACGCTTCAGAACTGATTATTACCGTTTCAGGACCACTTTTAACCGTTTCAAGACCACTCGTAATCGTTTCAGAACTGCTTTTTGGCAATTCAGAGCTGCTTCCATCTTTTTCAGGAACGCTTTTAGCATTTTCCGGACTACGTTTAGTCGATTCCTTGTCGGTTTTCAAAGCTTTAACGATATTGGAAGCCTCATTTTCGGCCGGCACTGGCCTATTATCATTGACGACTGCTTCAGCTAGAGTTTCCTTTTGTTCTACTTTGATTTCTGTAGCTTTTGAGCTGACCTTGGGACTCTTAGCTGCTGTCACAGATCCCTCGCAGCATGCCGCAGCTTCTTTCTCTAGATTTGACTCACTTTTCGAGTGATTTTCAAACTCTTTTTCCTGTATATTATTCGATTTGCCTTCTTTAATATCATCTTTGATTTTTGTGTCATTTTCTTCAATAGGTTGGGAGATTTTCTCATTCGTTTCAATTACTTTGATCTGGTATTCTGGCTGTTCTGTGCTGGTTGCTTGCAGGGCTTTGTTTTGGCCTGCTTCTGGTGAGATTTCTTTTGTTTCGTTGCCTGTTTTGGTAGCTGCGTCTTGCTTGTGGCTTTGTGGCTCCTCCTTCAGGTCACTGCCATTGCGTGGCGGTGTGCCTTCTCGGGTGCCACTCTCACCGTTGGTCTTCTCCTCGTTTAGACTATCGAAAATACTTCGTTTCGCTTCCTGCTTTGGTGTTTGCTTTATGGGACTCAGCTTCAGGCAGCCGGGCTCGCCAAAAAAGAATGTTGCCTTTGGCTCTGAATGTGTGGGTGCTGCCGCTGCTGCCTCTTCCGCAGCAGCTTCGTTTTTGCCATTGCCCACGAGACATTCGGCGCCGTTGCCCGTGCCAAACACATGGATGACAGCCTCCTCTATGGCTTCACTCAGCTCCAATTCATTGTCGTTCGTTTCTTGATCGAAATTGCTTAGGAAATTGCCATCAGCGGCATCACAGTCGCTGCCTGATCCCTGCCCACTCACCGTCATGGTGGGCTCTTCAATGGCTTCGCCCACTTCGTCATCTGCCTCCCCATCATCCTCTTCGATGTCTGCTGCCGCACTGTCAATATCGTCGTCATCCTCCTCATCATCATCGTCTCCACTGCCCTCCTCTTCTTCCGCTTCATCGAGTTCCGAATCATCGTCATCTTCCTCCTCTTCCTCGCCCGATTCGGCATCGTTTTCGTCCTTTGTGCTTTCGTAGCGGCTGGGTTTCTTGATGCGTTTGATGTCCAACAACGTGGGTCGATGTTTCTTTTGCTGCTCCTCCACCGATTCTGTGGGACTGCTGTCCACCTCCTCAATGGAACGTTTCTTGGCCGGAGCCGGCGAGCAGCTGCCTCCCAGTTTTGTTTGTGTGATGAACAGTGGCTGGAAAAAGAAGGCATACAAAATGAGTTACGGCCGATTCGTGGCACTCTTTTGTATACTTACCTTGACCCTTTTGGCCTTTTGTTCGTCTTGATCGGGTGAGCGCAGTTTGATCTTCAAATTGGGCACCACTTTCGCTGGCTCCTCCCTGATTTGTGGCTCTGGCTGCTGCTCATCCTCATCCTCTGCTTCATCTTCGTCGCCCTCATCCTCTTCTTCCTTTTCTTCGGGTGGTGGGGGCTTAGCGGGGCAACTATTACTGCTGCTCGTATCCTCATCCGCCTCGCCAATATCCTTGGAGGGCAGCACCACCTCATTGCCACGCAGCCTGGCTATAAGATTCACGAATTCATCCCGATTGGTGGCGACCACCTGCCAGATTTCCTCATCCAGATGCTCCTGATAGATGCGCAGATTGCAATCATCGTCCTGGGTCAACCAGTAGGCATGCCCCAGTCGATCACGACCAATGGGCTCCGAGCGCAGGGTATTCGAATTCTGCGTGAGTATGTGGGCACGGAATTTGACATTGCGCTCGAACTGGCTCTCCAGGAGTTCCTAGAAACATCAGATAATGTTATTAATTGGCATATTGAGGAGTGGATGTTTCATCTTACCCGAAAAATCCTTAGTTTGACTTTTAGGCTGGAGTTTTTGTAGCCAAAACGTTCGATTTCCCAGGCATCTTGGAGCGAGTATCCGAAACAGAATTTACTGAGAGCCGATTCCCAGTTCTTCTCATGCACCGTTTTGCGTGTCTTTCGCAGGAGTTTGATATGCAAATCCTTCAGTTCAGGAACTTTAAAATTATTGTAAAATGTATTATTTATTATTAATTTAAGAAAATTCTCTTGTTTGTTGGCGCAACACTGCAACGATTTCTCTTTCATTCACGAATGCAACACTGCAGCAGTGCTCTCTTCAACTGTTTTACCATTGCATCGCTCTCACCCTCTCTGTCTCGGTTTCACTAATGCATTTACTGCATCGCGATCTCGCTCTTGCTGCTTTACTAATGCAATTACTACAAACACACGCATTGCAGGCTCTCACTCTCTCTCAATAAGTGTTGTCGAAAGAGAGCAAATGGTTATTTAAAAGTTATGGAAATCACACATTTCCCATGAAAAACCACTTCAAATATATGCTCCTTTTATATAACTTGACTAATAAAGAGTTTTCCTTTTCTTAGATTTAATTTATAAAAGCAAAAACAGTGAATCAATTGCGCTCTCTCTCAATCACACACACACCCACACACATGCACTCACCTTCATCGTTGTTTGTCAACCACTCCTGCAAATGCTTAAAATTCGGCAAAATCAAGCCCAAATCTTTGGCGAATTTTTGCAAAAACGCACAAATCACTGCAAAATCAGGATCATTTGCACACGAATGCAGTGTCGTGCTTAGAGCATCCTCATCTTTACATTCCTCCGTTATTGCCTCTGTTGGTATTGTGGTCGCCTCTGCAGCCGTAGCTGAGGACGCCGCCATTTTTCATGCGTCCCCGAAACGGGCCGAGAAAATTTCTTGTAGCACACGAAAAAATATATATACTACACAGATGAAATTGAGTTATTTCCACTGAAATGACATGGCATTTGTCCAAGATTTAAGCGTTTCTATTGCACTTCACTGTACTGCATCGATTAGTCATATTTCTAGAGTCAAATTGTTTGTTTTACATATTAAATTTGTGGTTTAAAACAAAAGAAAACATCGATTCGATGGCAGTCTGACCGCGGACTTACCGACAAATTATATCGTCTGTTCCTCGTAAATATACCGGAATATGCTTTTTCATTTTATAAATATACCGAAAATATACGGAGAAAAACAAAATGCACGAACTTAACCCACATAGCCAACCCCTTCTACACCCGCTCCAAAACAATGGGTTAACATTATTTTCTGTTGATCGCAAATCATATTCCTTGATTTAAATATTCGGATTGAAATTACTAGCTAACTAGGACTCTCAGGCCTGAACAAATGGTTGTATCAGACAAATAAATCAATATTTTAGATTGGCGGCTATTAGAAAATAAGGTTTTTACAAAATGGGCCAATGCAATAAAGTGAAGTGTGTACGGAATAAGCTGTGTGTGCGGGATAAGAAGTCTGTTCCGAATGGTGGCCAACCGGTTTCTCTATCTATATCCTATATCTGGAGCCAAGAGTGACAAACATTTTCCAATTATATAATATTCTTTTCCAAAAAATATGCAGAAAATTAAGTTTGAAGGAAATATTTCTGCAAAGTAATTAAAATAAACTTAACTTAAGATTAAGATTTAGTAAGATAGTAAATATGTGTATTTGTACACTCTCTCGAAAATAATTTCCGCATGCTGGCTGTGCATAGGTCCACCCCGATTTCAGTCTCAAAGTGTTTGAACTGGTAGTTATCCTACACCACCGCTTGAAGTTGTGCCTGAATGTTTAAAGCACTCACCCCCCATCTAACATTTATGTCTCGGCAGATCCGAAGGTATCGGTACTTGATGCGACGCGCAAGTAGGTGTACCGGAAGTTACTTCCATCAATATTGTTGACGGCGATTGCCAGAGCCTTCCGTACATTTACTTAGAATGTTCTCATATGCCTGAGATGGTACTCAGTGACATGGAGGATAAATTTAACATTTTGGAATGTTTTTATCAAATTTGAAAGTATGCTGCATGCTCCATGTTCTCCACACGCCTTATGGCAGCTGTTAGATAGTGCTTAATGCTTTAACCTAACTTTAACAAGGGCACTAGTTTTATCCGTTTCAATACATTTTGATGATTTGTCGAAATCGAGTTGCGTTGCCGTTATATTACGGTATATGTGGGACGGAATATTTCGGTATATTACTGATAATCTGGCAGTATATTTTTGTATAAATCGGCGGTCACACTGGTCTGTGTGTTTGTTGATAGAAAAAACAGTCGCAAACACAACAAAGGCAACGCAAAAATTTTAATTGCTAAAAAATCGAATTCAACCTACTCCGAAGCACTACGCAGTCCCATCTGCCTGTGTACTTGTGATTGTGTGTGTTTTTTTCGTGTATTTCCGCTGGTGAGAAAGTGCAATATATCTGGACATTAAAGGCGCGAGTGAAAGTGCTGTATCCCCCAAAGCCCAGAGATATACATATAACAGATACAGATAAAGATATAATCAGCAAAAGGAAGAATCAGCCACAACAATGACTACATATCAAATGAATTTCAATCAGGACTTTACGTAAGTTATCATAATAAATTACCATCTAACAAGACACAAGACAAGCCTTGGGGCTCCAAGAAAGAAGGTCACTATGGCGAAAAACTAAATACAAAAAGCTATTTACATACAAAAAGACACAGCTGCTTGTGGGTCGGAGAGGGGTATGTTAGTGTAGAGGGGGAAGTCGTAATTGATGTGCTTGTATGACACTTACTGAGGTTAACTGGACTAGTATTTATATAAATTATAATGTTTTGCCTTTTTACTCCAAGTTTAATATTAAATGAAACCGTTGTATGAAATATAAATCATTGACTTAGAGAGTGTCATACCAGCATAAATAGCTCTACTGATATTTGTGTGCATGTGTGTATGTCTTTATTTATTTTATCGTGTATGAGTGTCATTTCCATTTGTGTTTGTACTTTATTGGAACATGCAAACAAGCAGTTCTAATAACAGCGACATGCATATTATGAAATACAGTTAAAGCATGAAGTGTGACGAGGAGAGGGGAAGGTTACACTAAGCAACAAAACAGAGAGAGAGTGAAACTGGCAGATTCTCAGCTAATTAGAAATGCAACACTTTGCTCTCTAATTTTGTGGCTTAGTGTATGAATCACAGACGCACAAACAGCTAGAGCAAATCACAATGGCATGGCACACATTCACCTACACCCCATAAATGCGCAACAGCTGATGTGTCTCGCATTGCCTTATAAATTATGCATACAGCCTCACAAATCTTTGTACTTGTCTGGCAAGCTTAATTAACCAGTTTTTTAGAACTGACTGCGATTATTTTCGTCTCAGCTGATGTCATTAGAATAATTCATACACACATATGTACATATGTATGTTTGTAAATACACCTGTATTTTAGTGCCGTTAGCTTAGGACACCAACTCGGGCTTCGTTTTGAAGTGCCGTTAGTTCTGGGCGACTGTGATTTCGCACAAGATAGCTTTTGCTATCGCTACACCTCCCCTCCACCCATTGCACCGACGACCAAGGCACCCAAGGCAGAAAGCAGAGAATGCAAAGAACAACAGTAATCAATATTTCCACTTATGGCGAAAATGCAAAAAAACAAAAGCACACACTCGATGCGAAATTGCAATAAAACAACAAGCCAAGCAGTAGATGCGATGCCGATGCCGATGCGCGTCATAAAGCAGGGAACAAAGGCGCTCTACTTTACAGGCAGTAGACGAGAAAGAGACAGCAAGCACAGAGCTTTCTAATCAGAATCAAATCAATTAGCTCCGTGCCCCAGGGCGGGTGAATGTACGCTATAAAAAAAAGTAAACCAAATAAAAATTGAAATTTTAAATTGCAATCGAGGTGGGCGGGCACTTTCTTTGACTTTGGTACGGCACAAGTTCAAGGGGAAACAAGCAACAAAAATCCAAGGGCATCGAATGAAGTGATACCCTCCCTATACAGATAGTTGCTGCAACTTGTTTCTGGTATGGCTGTACACTGCTTTCTTCTCTGAGTTACAAACATAACAAGGGACCCGTAATACCCATTTCTAGCGGGATGCCCTTTCTATGTATGTAGATCTAGACAACAGATAACTGTAATTGTACGCTCAAAAACACGTGATGTAAAAGTGCTTGTTATTGTTTGTGGTGGCAGCTGTAATATCGGTTGAGTCAATATTTTTGTTGTTCAGTTTTGTATTTTATATTTTTTTAATGCGAATGAACTGCAGTCCACCTTTGACTTGTGCTGACTGCTACACAAATTTATCGCTTCTCATTAAGCTTTCAACTTGCTTTATTTTGCTTAATGATTGTGTGTGTCTATGCGTCAATACATATTAAATACATATATAAACAAATATGTATGCATGTACATATTTTTTTGGTTAATCATTGTTATTGTTAGTAAACAACCAGAAAAGATCGCGAAAACAACAACTAAACAACAACAAAGACCTTAACGCTATCATATTGTACAGCGTCATGGCAGAGGAGTAGTGGGAGGGGGGCGGCCACCAACAAGGCCAGACGCAACCTTGGGCCCCTTTTTAGCAACTACTTTGACGGCTACGCCTTTGGGCGGGAAACTAGTTTTGATAGCAAAAAACAAAACCCAAAAAAATCACCCGAGCGGGCACGTGTTGCGCTCTCAGAGAGAGATTGGCTAAGGCTTATCGCACGAAGCGTGTCCCAAATACAAATAAATAGCACGTAATGTGCCAAATCTGTAGTTTTCAAGAACAACAGCACGCACGACAAGAATTGGGTCAGCATTGGGTTCAAATTTGGCGCATAGAAAATACCAGTACTAAAAATACCAACTAAAATGTACTAGCGCTAAATGGTATATAGAAGCGTTTTCCAACACCGGAATGAGCATAGCAAACAATAACAAAGCGCTGACATTGAAAAAAAGCGATAATTGTACAATAATTGGGTGCATTTTAAAGCGAGAGAGTGTAACTAGAGCGAGCGAGCAATAGTGTGAATGGGGAAAAATCAATTGTCCGCTAACAATGGAGCAGCGTGCGAATTTCCTGGCACTCACCCTGCTGGACGCCCTGGAAGATGAGAACGAGGCGGACATCTTGTCGATGCTCGAGCGGAATGTGATAAATGCTGGAATTGTGCCCTGCGACCGTGGCCTGGCACCGCTGCACTATGTGTGCGGCATGCGGAACGAGGAGCTGGCACGCCGCATACTCGAAAAGTTTCTGGAGTGTCCCGACTTGGATGTGAACGCTTTGAGCGATGGACAGACAACGGCCCTGCATATTGCCAGCATCTATGGGCGCGTCGACTTAGTGAGAATGCTGCTGCAGCGAGGGGCACGCGCCGATCTGCCGGATGATGAGAACCGGCTGGCCGTGCACTATGCCATCGAAGAGTGCCACTTTGAGGTGCTGCAACTGCTGCGCGACCACATCTTTCGCGAGAAGCTAAAACAGAAGCAGAACCAGAGGCTGCAGGTGCCACAACATCAGGCGGTGGAGGCCAGCACCACGCCCAAGCAAACGCTTAAGTACAACTACGATGTGACATCGCCTTATTACATTAACATTACCCACAGGCGCCACAAGCCGCAGCCCAAGTTTCCAGACATTGCGGATGCACCCGCCACGCTGCCGGACGAGGAGGAGTCCGTGAATCTCTTTGCCCTCACGGAGGCTCATCTCACGCAGTTGCTGCAAAGCCAATACCAGGAGGATCCAGATCATCCGAAGCGACGTTCCATCATTGAGAGTTGGCGCGAGAAGGTCGAGCGCTCGAGGGCGCGTCAGTCGCTGATGCACAAGTACGACAAGCATGTGGAGGCCATAGTTGAGGAGGCACTGGCCCAAGACGACTTCAACTACGAGCGGCACATGCAGAAGAAGCTGCGCGAGGAGGACAGCCTCGAAATGGAAATGGAGATGCAGCAGCAGCAGATCGAGGATGCAGCCGCGCCCCATCGACAGGTCTTCCAGCAGCTGGTGGAGCAGGTATCGCAGGCACAGGTCATAGAACCCGAGCCGGACAACACTTTTGTCACCGCCCAGGAGGAAGAGCAGCTGGCGGGCAGCTCGCCACGACCCACGGATGAATACTTTCTGCAGATCAAAGAGGCCTATGTCCACACGGATGATGAGAATGGTTTGGTCTTCTACGAGGCAAAGTTCCTACAGAATGATGAAAAGCAAATGCCAGCCAAGAGATTTGTGGAGCGAGTTCCCAAGCAGGAGCAGCAGCAACAGCTGGACAGTACAGTCAGCACGAATCTGACGCTGCCACTGGACTACGAGACCGATGCCCTGCGACGAGAGCTCACCCAATTGGGTGCCCCTGTGGGTCCCATAACCAAGACCACAAAACGGTTGTACATCAAACAGTTGATCAAATATAGACGGAACACGGATGCCCTGCTGGCTGCCCAAAAGCATGCCCAAGCGTCTCAGATCAGGTATTCGGTGGAGCTGCACAGGACACTCCGTTCGCGGGAGGATTTCGAGCGCATTAGCGAATTTATGCCGCAGGAGGCGGCCTCATCGGAGCACTTTGCCACGGCCCCGGTTGTGAAGAGAACGCTGCGCGAGGGTCATCTCAAGCAGAGCTTCATCTACATGCTGATCGATCCGCGTATCTCCCGAAATCTTCCCGGAGAGAGCACCTTTCTGGACAAGTTCAGCATCTGGCAGCGATTCCTCGACTCGATCTTCTACGTGGGCAAGGGGAAATCGTCGCGGCCCTATGCCCATCTGTACGATGCAATGCGCCAGCACACGCGGCTCAATCAGAAGCGCGAGAATGGTAGGGAGCGCACAGAGAAGGCGGAAAGAAGGGGCGGATTTCGCACACTGCAGCCGGATGTGTTCAAGTCGCCGCCAGCGGGTGATGCCAAACTGGGCAGCAAGAAGCTCGAGCGGATACTGGAGATTTGGCAGAACGAAAGTGGTGTCGTATGCCTACATGTGTTCCACAACATAATGCCCATTGATGCGTACACGAGAGAGGCCTCCATTATCGATGCCATGGGCCTGGTGCACCTGACAAATCTGAAGCGTGGCGATTACTATGGACCCGCACAGTCGTGGACCATGAAACAGCGAAAACATTTGGGCATTGCCCTGCTCTACAAGGCGATGCACATCTATCTGGCCGAGGGCGAGTCCCAGTTGTCGCCCAGCGACTTGATTTGATTCGATTAGGACTAGCTACTAAGCTGAGTAGTTGGCAATAGGAGGTACTAAGTACGTACAAAGTGCAAAATGTGCAGGTAAACATGTTCAAAAGATAGATCTCATGTTTTTAGATTAAAATAAATCGAATATGTTATTAAATAAGCAATAAAGTAAAGAAATCGGGTCATAAGAAAATTCGAATGCAGAATTTTGGGTCAAATTGGTATTTTATTGAAAATGTACTAAAATAAGCTTAGCGCCTTAGTTGGCTATAGTGCAGTCTCGCTCTTACTTTTATCTGTGCTGTGGGAGGAAACAGCGCTCAACAGGCTTGGCGCATACCCTGGGTTCAAATCCCACTGAGGTTTAATAACTAGTTCCAATGTTTTTTTTTAATTTTTCTCTTTTTTATGACGGTCAATTCTTTTTCAAGTAATACTTTCTTAGCCCGAGTTCCAAAAGAGGTAAGATTTTTGTAATTTAAGTGAATTTACCATTTGCAAACTATGACGAAATTCCTTCCGGATTGCGGGAGCATTATTTACTAGGCATTAATTTAGTTTACATTATTTCAATTATAATTAACTTTAAATGCAATAGTTTGTCAGTTTCTCAATGCATTAAATGCAGCTGCCTGTGTAGACAAACAACCCCGAACTGCACACAAAACCTCCCCTAAGCCTCTCACCCCCATCAAATCATATACAAAGGATACAGTTGCGACAACAAAACTGCAGTAGCAACAACAACACAAGCCCAAAAGCATGCAGTACTTTTTGAGCACGCCCGAAAATGCGAAACTGTTTGCTGGAGGTTTCAGTGCCATTAGAATTCCCAACCAGTACTGGTCGCGCCGCCATGGAGAAAGCAATGATTTCGAATGTGAAGTTATCTTTGCGCAGTGGCAATACCGTAACCGATGAAGTTCTACTGAGGTGCGGTTATTGCTAGTTGAAAACTTTAACCAATACCCCGCCATGGGGACGTGAAATACCGTCCACTACGGCAATTTTTGCAAGCCCGAGAGGGCTAATAAATTATAAATGAAAAACTGGAAGTAAAATCATAATTAGTAATACTCAAATCGGTACTTTTGCAGCTCCCTGTCCGTGTTGAGTGTCACGGGTTTGAGACTCTACTCGATTGCCGGACAGGATAAGGTGGAGGAGATCTTTGCCAAGGACAATACAGAGCAAATAAGGATCGTGGAGCGTCTGTTCAACAGCTCGCTGGTGGTGCTGGTCACCTCCCAGAAACCAAATTGCCTCAAGATGCTGCACTTCAAGAAGAAGCAGGACATTTGCAACTGCTTCTACCCGTCGGAGATCCTGTGCGTGCGCATGAATCGCCAGCGATTGATTGTCTGCCTGGCGGAGAGCATACACATCCATGACATACGCGACATGAAGATCCTGCATTCCATCGAGAACATTGCCCCCAATGAGCAGGGGCTCTGCGCCCTGTCCCTTAACTCACATTTGGCCTTTCCCGTCTGCCAGTCCAGCGGAGAGCTGCGCATTTTCAATGCGAGTAAGCTGAGGACTGGGATGACCATCAAGGCCCATGACACGCCCCTCTCCGCGTTGACATTCTCGCCCAGTGGGGCGCTGCTGGCCACCGCCTCGGAGCGTGGCACTGTGATACGCGTGTTCTGTGTTAAGAACGGCCAGAGAGTTCAGGAGTTCCGGCGTGGAGTGAGCTGTGTGCGAATTGCCTCGCTGGTCTTTGCTGCAAGCGGGGATTTTCTGTGCGCCTCCTCCAACACGGAGACGGTACACATCTTCAGGATTGATGCACGAGCCGTAGAGTCTGTGGAACTGAAGGCAATTGGTGAGTGGAATGAAGATCCATACATGATTGATTCTAGACTAAATTTTATAACTTTCAGCTGAAGTGGCTGCCAAGTCGGACAGTGCCTCCAAGGAGTGTACAGCCACGGCTCCACCAACCACAGAAGAGGCCAGTGCCGCGCCCGTTGCCAGTTGGGGTGGCATGTTCTCCAAGGCAGTGTCCTCGCTACTGCACTCGACGCAAGTCAGCGATGTCCTGGCCCAAGATCGATCCTTTGCCACAGTGGTGCTCGCCCAGGCGGGACTCAAGCACATCTGTGCACTGACGAGAGTGCAGAAGGAGCTGCGACTGCTGATTGCCTGCGAGGATGGTTTCCTCTATGTGCACGAGTTCAATGCAGAGCGAGGTGGTTCCTGCAAGCTGCTGGCGGTTCATGATCTGCGGGGCGCCCTGGAGGATGTCATCGAGCTGCAGCTGAGCGAGAGTGTGCTGCGGATGCAGGCCAAGCCAGTGACCACGCCGCAGTCGTTGACGCTGTTGAAGAGCTGTGCGGCCAGTGTGCTCATTGAGAATCCCGATCCCATGCCGGATAATAGTTATGCTAGCATACTCAGGGGTGATCAGGCGGATGCCATGTCAGGTGAGCGGTGAAAATCAATCAGAAAATCAATGAAAGCTAATTCTATATCTGCACAGATTCCGCCAAATTCCGTAAACTCTGCGATGCCATCGACACGCCAACGAAGCTCTACGATGAGCGACAATTTCCGCCCGTCGCCATTGCGGCCAAAGATTGACCAAGACGCCGCAGCTCCATAGACATGGTCTTTGTCAAAAAACCATAGAAAAATCCAAACCCAAAAAAAAATACATAAAACCCCTTTGGAAAAGTTGTCCAAAAAATATTTCAAAAATGTACTTTAAGTTATCCTTAAAAAAAGCGAAAAGGAAATACTCCAAACCAGAAAACTTGACAAAAAAAAAGTATTTTAAATTATATTTAAACTATAAGAATTAATCCTCGATCATTTCCAAACGATTTTGTATATATAAATCTTTAACTTAAACTGTAGAAACTTCCCATAATTGTTAACAAATTGAATGCCTTGGCTTTCTCATTCCGTTTCTAACTCCATTTGTCAAAGTACTCTCATAGATTCTCCTCTCTAATGCAGTTACACAAGGTTCTGTATTTTTGTATGATATATAAATATACACACATATATTTAGTGATATACATATATTATAATAGTTAATAGTCAAGACTTAGCAAATTGTGCGTTAGAAGCTCAACAGAAAATCCAAAAAAAGAAAAAACGAAAAACACTAAAAATACAGGAGGAAAAGCAACAAATAATGTACCTTAAAAATCTGAATGAAACACTAAACGTATTCAATTAGCTTTGCAAATAATTTATCTAACATTTAAATGTTTAAATTTAAATGTTTAACAAATAAACGTAAATTATATTATATTATAAATATAAAAAGCAAGCGAAAAAGGAAAGCTCGGAGCAGTGTAATGTCAATGAAAAATTCTGAAGTATTTCAAATATGCAATATCGCAATCATTAATTAACTTTCGGCATGACATGACATGACTTAATATCTTATTAGATTTGCAATCAATGAAAAAAAGCAATCAAAAATGATTTAAGCAATTGTTAATGTCCAAAATAATTTAATTTAATTTAATTAAATGAAGCAATTATAAAATACAAAAAAAAGAAGCAAAAAATGAAAAGCAAATAGAAAAAAAATTAAATAATAAAAAAAAAGCAAATAAAAATGACAAAAACCCCTAGAAATGTGATGGGACTTATTAATTAACTAAATTTCCATATTAAAAATAAAGGATACGCAGCAGGAAAGTATAATATGTTATTTCTTAAAGAAATAATTCTAAAAAGTTTAAATTTTTTCATGTGATATTTTATATATGAATGGCAGAAAATTTAAAGGATGTGAAAAAATAGTTTATATCCATAAGAACAGGGAACCTGCAATCGAAGGATGAAACTCCCCATAAAGGAATTTTTTAGGGCTTTGAGGACTCAAGAATTTCATATGGTACCCACATTGATATTTTTATATTGAACAAAAGGGAATATTTAAATGCTTTTTCCTTGGACTAAAGGGGCTGATTATGGCAAGATAATTAAGATATTAATTTTTAGCTAATGATTGTAAGAATACTTGTTGAAAAGTTTTGTAGGGTATTAAGTCTTAGGGAACCCATTTAAGAAATGAATTTAACTTTATTTATGGCGCATGTGATACGAAAAGTGACTGTAAATATTTGTTTTAAGTACTAATGAAACGAATTTGATGTAATTTAAGGTCCTACGGCACACCGTTACTTAATTTGCTGGTACGTCGATTCTTAGATGCCTCCAAATCCTGCTCTTGTTGCTGCTCCTGTTCCTGCTGATGATGGTGGTGATGGCGATGATGGTGATGATGATGGTGATGTCTATGGTGTGGCTGCTCTGGCAGTGGCATAATCTCTGGTTCTTCTTCGGGCTCATCCAGAACTTCATCCATTTGCGTTGACTTGTCGACTTTCCAGCCAATTTCTGGCGGAGGCGTGGCTGTCTTCTGGGACTTCAATGAGAACATGGAACCGATTTTCTTCAGCTTGTTGTGCACAGAAGCCTCTACATCGGGCTCGACCAAGCTCTTGAGACTCTTCATGGATAAAGGCTGTGATTTCGAGGAGGGTTTGGAACGACTGGAACGGGATTTGCCAGACTTTGAAGAAGAGCTTGAACTGGAGGAGGAGGAAGAGCTGCCGGAACCCGAGCTGGTGTGCACTGGCTTGGTGGTAATCCAAATTTTCATGGCAAACAGAGCCTCCGAGCGTAAAGCTTCCTTCAGGGAGATCTTCTCTTCAATGGCCACCGATTTGACATTCCAAAAGAATTCCGTGCAGCCCAGAACCATAGCCGAGAGCAGACCCAAGCCCAGGACCAGGAATACACCGCCGACATTCTCCAGACCCAGCTCGGGCGTATCGCCGCCACCGTCCTCGCTCTTCTCACAGCTACCACCGCCATGCATCTCCTTCCACCACTTGCGCTTCAGCTCCGCCAGGTTGCCCAGCTCCCCAAGCTTCAGGACTGCGCCGCTGATCTGTTTACGATACGGAGAATCTAAGCAGGGAATTTCCCCATAATATTAAGAGTTTTCCTGCTCAGTCTATGTACTCACTGAATGGCATGGCAATGCCATAGCTTTTATAGTCCAACCATCCACCGATTTGCACCAGATCGCACTTTCGCTCCACATTGTACTCAAGAGTGGTGGATTCCATCATGAAGGCATACAGATTTTTGCCCTTTTGCACCCGCTCCACACCTTCGTCATTCGTTTTGGTAAACACCGACGGACTGGCACTCTCCATGGCGGTCCACATCTTTTGGTAAGTCGTAAAGTTCGAGTCGCGAAAGAAACCCAAAGTGGAACCACCCAGCATGGCACCATATTTGATCTTGGTCTGCGCCGCCAGATCCTCGGCACTGCTGATGGAGTTGCCCTGCCGTGAGTTGGTCAGAAAGGCAGCCAAGTTGGCCGTATAGGAGTTCAACATCATCAGAGCAAAGAACCACCACATGCCAGTCACTAAACGGGTGGAGGCAGCCCTAAAAAATGATCAAATGATTCATTGAAATATTTGCAAGCAACCTTTCCACTCACTTGGGCAATATATCACAGCCCTGTCCCATCAACGAGCCTATCGACAGCCAGGTGGTGTTCATTATGGTCCAGATGTTCTCAACCTCTTCGGGTTCCTTGCACGGATGCGGATTCTCCCAGTCATCGGGAGCCATGCGAGCCAGCGCAAAGAGCAGCAGCGATATAAACAGGTACGCCGAACCCATATAGATCCAGACATCCAAAGAAAAGGGTGACAGAAATGAGAATAAATCTGTGGGCGGTATGGGCGGCTTGGAGAACAATATGCTAATGCCCAGTGTCATAAAGGGTGGCGTAAAATCCACAGCCTGACGTCTCGATGAGGTCATTGTCAGATCACAAATGCCAAGATCAGCGTTCTAGAAAGTAGATCGTTAAATTATTCATTTTTATACCGTGTACTCGAAGAGTAAATAGGGTATATTGTATTTGTGGGGAATAACGGTTGTATGTAACGCACAGAAGGAAACGTTTCCGACCCCATAAAGTAAGTATATATATTATTGATCAGCATCAATAGCCTAGTCGATAGAGCCATGTCTGTCTGTCCGTCTGTCCGTCTTGTTTGTCGGCTAGTTCTCAGAGACTATAAGAGCTAGAGCCACCAAATTTTGCATCCAGACTGCTATATGCTCACACTGAAACCAGTGAATTTCAAAAATGAGCCACGCTCCCTTCCGCCCCCGCAAAAGGGCGAAAACCTCCCAAATCTACAGTTTTGAAGTTAAAAGAAAACTAAAAACGCCATTCCGTAGGAAATGGCCATATCTATCAGATCACCAAATTGGGATCCTATTGGATCATTATTATAACCCACCCCGTCCCTCAGCTTTTGTTGTTCTTTTCACATTCTCTCATTCACACTCTGCTTCTGCTTCACTCGGCCCCTGCCTCTGCCGTCCCTCTTCCCCTGCCTCTGACGACTTTTAACCCACCCCGTCCCGCAGCTTATATTTGTTTATTTTTTTGGGTGCGGGCGCTGCCTCTGCCATGATTCTGCAGTGTGTGAGTCTAGGGAAGGGCGGCTAGCTAAAGGAGCGTGTTGGTGTGAGTAGTGTTGTTGATGTAGATGACAGATGAAGAAAAAATGCAAAATTTGACAAATAACCGCTAAGGTGCAGATGTTGTACTGAGTGCCGGGTATAAAAGTTGTGACGCGTAAGAAGCGTCTCACACATCCCTTCTCGCTTAGATTACAATCTGTAGTTACCCCATCGATCAGCTGCTTTACAATGCCATCCCACGTTTGTGTGGCTTGATTCAGGGAGCCATATCTGCCATCGGGTGACATGCGAAATTCGTATTTAAAATTTAGCATCTGAGCGATGGCATCGATGAGGTCTATGGAGTAGCCCTCGTAGCGGGCATTACCATACAGCACCTCACCCTCCTCGGGTTCCTTTAGTGTAAGAAAAGGCGCTCCCAAACGTGAGGATATAATAAAAGTTTTGTTGGACAACTTCTGACCCACACGCTTTTCGCTCTCCTCATCATCGTTGAGTATGTCCAAACCGTTGACAGGATCCCAGGTGGCCAGATCCAGGTACCCGCCAGCATTCACCTCCATGAAGCGTAGGGTAAAAAAGCTGCGCTGTCCATACTCATTGAAGTCAATGCGACCCGTGGAGGCCTCATCAGAGCGCTACATAAAAGACAAAGTTAAATCAGGTCAGAGAAGTATCTTTGAGGGGCTATCATTACCGCCTTCATAAATTCTATAATACGTCTTCCATGTGGCCAGGATTTTTTCCTCTTGCACTCCACCTCTGGTGCTGTTAGCTCTTCCAGTATGCCCAGTTCCGTCAAGCCCTTGGAGAACAGCCAAACGGCATCGTTGATCAGTATCATCATGGTCTTAACCCTCCCAGGTTCAACTTTATAGTAACGTCCCTCTCTTTTCTCACGCTCCTCCCAGTCGTGTATGACATTCTTGATGTGAAAATCTGTGGGATCCATCAGACGTACAGTCGTTATGTTGGCATCCACGCCTGAGAGATCACCAAAGTCCACGGTGTGTGTGTCCAGTAGAGGTATAAAAACACTCTGCAAAGATTATAGATAATTACATGGATCTGTAATACTTTTAGCCATAAACTGCACCTGATATTCGCCCAGCATTTTCAGTTCGTTGGCCTGCTGCAGGAGGCTCAGCAGATTCGTGGGCGAACAATGCACAATCAAACAGTTATCGGTGGAGAGTTTAATTTCCTTTAAAAAGGGTCTATAGTCCTCATCTGGGCCAAGCTGTTTCATTGTCGTGGGCATGTTGCTGGGTTCGCCAATTTGCAAAATATCCTGCAGTTGCTGAAGCTCTTAAAAGGCAGACAGGAATGAGTTCAAAATAAGACTTAGAGTTATTCTAGTTACCTCTATCCCCTTCATAAATAATCGTAAAGCTACGCCAGCCAAAGCTCTGTACTATTTCGGCAAATCCTTGGGATAGCAATAGATTATCGGGATGCACATTTAGAGTCATGGTGGAGTGCTGTCGATCCGGTATGGACTCATTGGGCAGCCAATCATAGACAATGTGTGGTATGTCCAAGGTGTTGCAAATTGAAGCTATGATATCTGCAAAAACATTAACAAAATGTTATGGTTTCTTTTTGTTTTCTTGTATTTGCTTTGTTTACCCGAACTGCTGCCTGTACTGGGTCCAAATATAGCTATTACCCCTTGGGAAATTAAATTGCACACTGCGAGAGGAATGATTAAAGAGATTATCTCTACCATTAGTTGCTAACTTACCCATCTTTTCCATAATAAAACTATCATCCGTATTAGCATACACAGCAATAGGCACAAGTTCTATATTTCTTTCCAATATATTTGCACGATCCACTGCGGTGCGAAATGCAATTTCTGCTTCATCTTTGTCGGATGTAAAAATGCTGCCTAGAGAAAATGTACGCCAAAACATGTAGCAACAGGGTCTGTGGGAAGACAGTGACCCAGTTTCGTGTGGTGCAACTTACCCACCATAAACTGCTGTCTAGCACGGGCTACTGACAACAGACACAGCACTAAATATAGGTTGTATAATGGCCGCATTTTGACTATACTATACTATAACTTTGGATTTTCCATTTGAAGTAGGATTTTCCTGATGACTGATGATGTAAAACTTGCAGCGCGAAAAAATATTTCACGGCAAACTGTCTGCCTCGGAGGTCTGCAATGCAATGAGTGCAGAATTCGTAACAGAATCGGAATTAGACCTATGCTAAATTTAAAAGCGAGAGAGAGAGTGAGCGAGAGAGAGGAGAGCACACACTCGGGGGTTTGTTTTGCTCAACATATTCTAAACAATTGCGGATCAGAGGGATCTAGGGAAAAAGAGAGCTATAGAGCGCACCACTTGGATCGTGTCCAATAAAATGTTCTGCGCTATTGCGATAAATATTTCACGTTTTAATGCTTGTACCACATTTATACTTAAATTTGAACGGAAGAGATCTGTCCCTTCCGGTTGATAGTTCTTCCGGAAACTCCACAGTTTATAGAATTGCATTTTGATGGTATTCCGCTTCAAACCTTACACCTTCTTGCGCACAATATGATCGTAGAACACCACATAGCCCAGCTTGGGTGAGTACACCATCGACCGTTTGGCATTTTTCGAATACAAATTGTATTGACCACCCACTGTGACTATTTTGCGATCGCCCTTGTGCATAAACAGCAGACCATAATAATGGTCGTGCATCACCAGGTAGTTATCACTGTCTGTATACTTGACCATGTTGTAGCGTGGATTCGAGTAGCTCAGATGGTGGGGCATGGCCTTCACACGGCAACGCCCCTCAAAGACGCACTTCCAGTCGATTTTCTTGATATCGCTGGCAGCATGGCGCCAACTGCATTCCAGATCTATGTAGCCAGAGATCTCAGAACCATCTTTCGCTTGATAGGAAGTAAACACAATGGTCTGTGGATGCAATACAATAGGTATGATTACGATTAGTAGCCCATCCGTGCACTTACCGATAAATACTTAATCAAATTGGGTATCTCGCGCCGTTTAAACTCTAGCAGCACTGGATCCGTATTCGTGGGCGACATAAAATCGCCCAGCAGCCCCACTTTTGTGGTCTTTGGTCTGATGGCCTGCTCGGCAATATTCACACGTCGATCGAACTCATCCTGATCGTACGGCACTTTTGTGGTGCGGTATCCCAGCTGCACAATGGACTTGATCACCTTTCGATTGCTCAAAAAGCGTTCATCGTCGGCAGTGGTAAAGGAGTTGATGTAGTCATTGTAGGTTTCAAAATTCAAGACACTTAAGTCCACTTGTTGAGTGCCCATTTGAAGGTGTAAGAAGTGTCTAGTGTGTGGTGTCTGGAGTGTTGGTTTTTGCTGGAATTAGTCTTTATTTGTGTATTCAAGTGTTGTTGTGTTTGTTGTAGAGTTTTGTGTGATATTGTACATTTTTGATGGGAAAATCCGAGAGTTACTAATCATAGATAAATCACCATATTGTAGATTATTTTTTAATGCCCACTGTCAGAGACCGTAATTATAAGTTTTAAAATAAAAATTGCAAATCTTTGACTGAAATACTTATACTTTTCAGTATATTTTATGTAGCTGTAACATATTTATTTTCTTCACATTGATTTATTAATTTGAATTTAGTCTTCATAGCTCTTATTTGCGGTCCCTGCCCACTGTACATAAAAATGGATCACCCCATGGCGTCGGAGGACGTTCTTTCGATTCTTTATCCCCCCTTTTTCTTCGCTTGATACCTGAATTTGCATTGCAAGTTCTTAGCTTTACGGTGCGCTTAGACGCTGAGTCTGAATCGCGTAGAGCTTTCATGTATGTGCATCATTTGGCATGAATCGTGGATCGTAGCTGTGGGCAGAACGAGATAGACATATCCGAAAAGCTCCGAGCGCATACACAATGCACTTTGCCATACATATAGAAACCAATTACTTTCGTCTACCTGCTGTGTGCTTGCGGCCTGAAACCTTTTTTCTCTCTTTCAATGTACTTTGGAGATTGATCCATGTGACATCTAGGCGGCATGGAATTATCACACTCAATTGTTATTTTCCTCGTTACACGCACACACAAACACTAGAGTATTCCATATAATATATGTATATTGTCTTGCAATCAGCTAAATCCGTAACCTTAACATGTCCTACGAAAGTTCGTCCACATCTGATGATGGTTGGAAAACCGTGGGAGCCAAGCCGAGCTTCACCATGTCCGTCGGTGGTCGCTCACTGGGAACGCCCATGCCCAGCCTGGCCACATCTTTTTCGGTGGACTCCCACTGGAATCGTCAGGTTAATTATAGCGTCTCTAATGATAACTCCTCACCGGGCACACTAGGAAAAGCCACAACCAGCTGGTTCGCTGGCCTGCGAACGACTCGCCCGAGCATCACTCGCTTAATTCAGGGTAATTACGATAATCAAAGTTTAATATCAGACAAGAGCAGCAAGTACGACATCAGTGCATTCTCTCACATAAGTGTGAGCGTGGCAAAGGAAAAGCCAAGCGAAGCTTTGGCCAAAAAGGAAAGACTTATGGCGCAAACTTTGGCCAAGTACGAGTATGAGGACTATCTAAATACTTTTGTCAGGCTGGAGGACAAAAAGTACTTGACAAGTGAACGGGCCATGCAGCTTTTGGTGCCGCTTAAAGTACAGCCTGGGGAGATTGTGTTGAGCGAGTCCAAGTTTAAGAAGGAACAAGCAAAGGGTCCTTTGGGCACACATTACTTTTTCAAGCAGCACAAAATAGCCAATGATCCGTTGGTCATTGCGCTCGCCGAGCGCGAGAAACTCAATGCTGTTAAAGAGATTTCGGTGAGTGTTTTCCACACTTTCTTTTTCTTTGAGAAATGCTTAAAATATTTCCTGATTTATTCCGATTTAGAGCATTATCTTTATTAGCACCCGAAACTCAAAGGGCTTTCTAATATCCGGCTATATAGACTATGAGCAGAGTTTGCGTCACCTCAAGTTGGGCCATCATTCAGAGCACGATTGGGTGAATATTTTTGCCGGCAATCAGCGCCTCGAACCCACCGAACAAGATCTCAGCTTCATTGCCTGGAAGACCGGCAAAGTTTCCTATAACAATTCGGATAATTACAAGATAATGCCAGATGCCATAAAGGGTTTGTGTTTCCAGCACAAGGGCGATGGCTGTGTGATAAATATTGAGAAGCGCATGACGGACGATAATCCGCAGTGCACCTATGTGGAATCACCTAAAAATGGTTCGATTATTATCTATGATCATCGTATAAGGCGAAAGAATTGAAGAACAATATTTTGAGTACATTCGACGGCGCACTTTCGAGATCAATAATAAACCTCTTGTTAGATCAAAAGGATGCCATAACCAAATACAAAGCAATATCAAGAACATCATAATATTTGGCACACACACAGAAAAGAGCCTCTTGCCGCTGACAAAGCAAAATAATCGAGCAATAGATCAGAGCACTACCAGACCATACCAGACTGACTGCTGCCGCCTACGTCACCGACAGTCAGCGTCACAGGGAGACTCAGGAGAGCGCATACCATCCAACAAAAATGAAAGAGAGCAAACTGGAGAGAGTCACGCCAGCGCCATTCATCAGCGCCATCTGCAGAGGGGGATCGTCAGTAGGCATGCAAAGCGCTCCAAGACTGGATGCTGCCGTCGCGTTCAAATAAATTCACCATAAATATATATTCGAAGATTCTACTTTACGTAATTTTGTGCCTGTGTGTGTGTCTATATGTAGCAAAAATAAACCCAAATGGCCGCTGCATTTAGAAAATTCAATTAGTTGTCGAGTGGTTTTTGTTTTTGGAAACCAACAAAGAAAAAAAGAAAACACAACACAAAAATGCATTTCTGTCCAGTCTACATTTATGTCATTGTATTATTCAAAACGATTTTCGCACTGGCTGGCGATGGTCGTAATGAAATTACAGTGGGTAGGTCCTTCAATCGTTTAGTCAAATGATTTTATTCAATAATTTCTGATACGCTTAGGTGCCATTTTCTATGAAAATGAAAAGGAAATTGAACTCAGTTTCGATCAGGCATTTCGTGAGGTGAATAATTTAAAGTTTGCCGAACTGCGGTTTGTCACCATCAAGCGTTATATGCCAACGAATGATAGTTTTTTGCTACAACAGATTAGTGAGTATTTCTTTTGGAGTGGCCATCGAAAAGAACAGAAACATATTATTATATGAGAAATTCATCTTCCGTGTGTGTTAGCTTGTGAACTGATTTCCAATGGCGTTGCGGCTATTTTCGGACCAAGTTCAAAGGCAGCCAGTGGTACGTTAACGTTGCTCTCTCTAAGGCTAAAAGACACATGTGTTCCGTTCTATAGATTATTTTCTTGTTGTTGTTTGTAGATATTGTGGCGCAAATTGCAAACACGACAGGCATTCCACATATAGAATACGATCTGAAACTGGAGGCTACGCGTCAGGAGCATTTAAATCATCAAATGTCTGTGAATGTCGCACCCACATTGTCCGTGCTATCGCGTGCCTACTTTGAGATCATCAAAATCAACTATGAATGGCGCACATTTACGCTCATCTATGAAACACCTGAGGGTAATTAAAAACTTATATTTAACTACACTTTAATCTCTCATTCTTTATGCATTCATTAGGTCTCGCACGCCTGCAGGATCTGATGAACATTCATGCCTTGAACAGCGACTATGTAAAGCTTAGAAATCTGGCAGACTATGCTGGCGATTATCGTGTCTTGTGGAAAGAGGCAGACGAAACCTTTCATGAGCATCGTATCATATTGGACTGTGAGCCGGGCACGCTAAAGGAGCTGCTGAAGATCTCTGTGGACTTCAAGCTGCAGGGACCTTTTAGGGTAGGACATAAAACATAGGACATAAAAATATCGGCATTTATAATTGAAACCTATCATTATTCTAGAACTGGTTCCTCACTCATCTGGATACTCACAGTTCTGGCCTGAAGGATATTTATAATGAAGATTTCAAAGCAAATATCACATCAGTGCGCTTGAAAATCGTCGATCCGAATCCTTTTGAGCGGAAAAAGACGCGCATTAGCAGAGTGGATGTAAGTTGTGTATCTAAAGGCACTCAAAACTCCTGTCTCTAATTTCTTATCACCAGCAAATCCTTGGCAACCAAACGATGCTGCCCATACTCATCTACGATGCTGTGGTGCTCTTTGCCAATTCGGCCCGTAATATTATAGCTGCCATGCAGCCATATCATCCACCAAATAGACATTGTGGCAGTCCAAGTCCTTGGATGCTGGGACCCTTTATAGTCAACGAAATGAAAACCATATCGGAGGACGATGTGGAGCCACATTTCAAAACGGAAAATATGAAACTTGATGAGAATGGACAGCGTACACAATTCAATTTGGAAATATACAAACCCACAGTGAATGAACCCTTGATGGTGTGGACTCCGGACAATGGCATAAAGCGGAGGCACATCAGTCTGGACTTGGGTGATTCTGGCTCCACACAGGATTTCTCAGTGCAAAGAAAAGTCTACACGGTGGTCACACACTACGAGGAGCCATATTTTATGATGAAGTATAAAGTCCAAGCTCCCTGTGGATGTGCCTTAAAGTTCTCTGCTCTTTTCTCTTGCAGGGAAGATCATGAGAACTTCAGAGGACGGGAAAAATTCGAGGGATATGCAGTCGATCTGATCAGTAAATTGTCCGAGCTGCTGGAATTTGATTATGAGTTTATGATTGTCAATGGCAATGGCAAATACAATCCAGAGACAAAGCAATGGGATGGCATTATCAGAAAATTAATTGATCATGTGGGTAGCATAAAGAACACCTCAGAAATCTCTTTCTAATTTTGTTTCCCACAGCATGCCCAAATTGGCGTCTGTGATCTGACCATCACCCAACTGCGACGCTCTGTGGTGGACTTCACGGTGCCCTTTATGCAGCTGGGCATTAGCATTCTGCACTACAAGAGTCCACCCGAGCCAAAGAATCAGTTTGCCTTTCTGGAACCCTTTGCTGTAGAGGTGTGGATCTATATGATATTTGCACAGCTGGTGATGACGTTGGCTTTTGTTTTTATAGCCAGGTGGGTGCTCCTATAGATGGGTAAATTAACTTTGTAATTTGTGGAATTTTTGTAGACTTTCCTATCGGGAATGGCTGCCACCAAATCCGGCCATACAGGATCCCGATGAACTGGAGAATATATGGAATGTTAACAACTCCACGTGGCTAATGGTGGGCTCCATTATGCAACAGGGCTGCGATATTTTACCCAGGTTTGACCTTAAATCTTAGAAAGCAAAATAATAGATTTTTAATTATTTTGTTTTGCATTTTCAGAGGTCCCCACATGCGCATACTCACTGGCATGTGGTGGTTCTTTGCCTTGATGATGCTCAGCACTTATACCGCCAATTTGGCTGCCTTTTTGACCAGCAACAAGTGGCAGAGTAGCATCAAAAATCTACAGGGTCTTATTGAGCAGGATGAGGTCAAGTATGGTAGCATGCGTGGCGGCAGCACTTCGTTGTTCTTCTCCGAATCGAATGAGACTGACTATCAGCGTGCCTGGAATCAAATGAAGGATTTTAATCCATCGGCATTTACCACAACCAACAAGGAGGGCGTGGCACGTGTGCGTAAGGAAAAGGGTTCCTACGCTTTTCTGATGGAGACCACCAGCCTGACCTATAACATCGAAAGGAATTGCGACTTAACGCAGATTGGTGAACAAATTGGCGAAAAACATTATGGCCTGGCAGTGCCATTGGGTGAGTGAAAAAAACTGTGGGAGATTTAAATTATTTAAACATTTATTTAGGTGCCGATTATCGCACAAATTTGAGCGTTTCCATACTCCAATTGAGCGAAAAGGGTGAGCTGTACAAAATGAAGAACAAATGGTGGAAAAATCACAACGTCACCTGCGACACCTTCCACGAGGTGGACGGCGATGAGCTCTCGATTATCGAGTTGGGTGGCGTCTTTTTGGTACTCGCTGGCGGCGTACTCACTGGCGTAATTTTGGGCATCTTTGAGTTCCTCTGGAATCTGCAGCATGTGGCTGTTGAGGAGCGTGTCACACCCTGGCAGGCCCTAAAAGCGGAACTCAGTTTTGCCCTAAAGTTCTGGGTGCCCAAGAAACCACTGAGAATATCCAGCAGCAGCGATAAATCCTCATCCCGCAGATCTTCCGGCTCCAGGCAGAAAAGTCGCAGCAAGACGGCCAGTTAGAAATCGTAAACAAATCTACAAAACTGTTTAATAACATTTAAAGTTGAATTAAAAGTGACTTTTAACATTTGAGTCAAGAGAAAATTCAAAAATTCAACTATGTGCGTAAGGAGATTGGGAAATCTATGGATTTTTGGTCGCTTTGATATATGCCTATATGTATGTATATGTGAATTTATGTTGTGCTACATTTATAGAGACTTTGTTGTGGACTACTTACTTAGAGGGTGCCTTGTGGGGTATATAGGATGAGAGCACAGAGATGTGTGTGCATTTTCTAGCGTTGTTCAAATTTTTTAATTAATAATTGTTGTCTTATTTTCATCCAGGACATGTATGACATGGTCATTACATTCTTCAGTTTTTGTATGGACTACTTACTAAGAGGGTGCTCTGTGGGGTATATAAGACTCAAGTATTTCAGTCTTTCAATTATCAGCCTAGGGTACGCCTTATTCGACTTTTTGAGTCATTTATTCTTATTTTTTTCTATTTTTTGTGGCACCCTACTTAGCCGGCTATGGGGGCGTCCGGTTAGCCTAATTTTAGCGAACATTTAGTTTTCATTTAGTTTTCATTTATTGGTTCATTTCCAGCTACAGCTGATGCCCAGGGTCTGCCTGGTCCAACGCAGACCGTTTCTTTTCTCTCTCTTTTTTATCCAAAACAAAAAAGCTCCTGCCACCCACGATTGTGTGTACGAAAGAGAGAAAATTCGAGATGGAAGACAGCTCCATACAAATTTCATTTTTTGTGCTGCTTACTCAGTGCCTTGCGAACAGTGGCCCGGTACGGATACGGAAAAGTTTCGTTCGTTTTACTTATTTCTTTTTTACGCCCGATTTCGAATCTCGAGCATTTTCCTATAGATGAAATTTCAAATATTTTCCTATAGCTGAATTGAAGTGAATTGGAACACTGGGATACAGTCGCTATATATATGAGATATCGTTATAATGCTTAACTTTAGCTGACCGGACGCATCATGATGTCTGCCATAAAGTTCCTCGTGCTCGTGGCTCTAATTTCTTGCAGCACTGCCAATGAAGAGGCTTTGGTGCTTAAAATTGGTTGGTACACAGATATATCTGCATAAATAATATATAGTTAGCCGAGAAATAATCCATAATAATGTGCAATTTAGGTGGCATTTTCTTCGATACGGAAATGAAGCTCGCAGAAGCCTTTGATGTGGCCGTGGAGGAAATGAATGCCTTGAATGCCAATTTACGTTTGGAACCCATCAAACATTATATGACCATTGATGATAGTATTGTGCTGCAGGATCTTTGTAAGTGCTTTAATTAAGTAGCTGAATTATTAAACATTTTTGTAACCCTTTCTTTTAGCATGCGAATTGATTGGAAATGGTGTGGTTGCTATTTTTGGACCAAGTTCAAAGACAAACAGCGGTAAGTTCTTGTGTTCTTTTGTTTTTTGTCTGGCCA